ACAAAATGATTCTAGGCTTCATCCCGCGAGATGTGCTCTGGCATCTCATGTCAATACAACAGGCCACTCTATGAACTACATAAGTATCAAAGTTCTTGATAAAGAAAAACACCTATCCAAACGTTTATTCCTGGAAATGTCCCACATTTTCGTGAATGACTGTATTAATAAGAAGACAGATGTTAAGCAACTGAGCGTCATTTACTCATATTTGCTAAACTGCGAAAAGTTAGAGCACTTACACATCTATCCAAATTTTGAATTTTCACAACCGTAAATGGAATCTGTTTTTTGGTCTATTCCACCAAAAATTCCATTCCATTCAAATTTGAATAATTGTTTTCTCATAATAAAATAATATTTGTTTAATTCAATTGCCCATATCATCAACAATATAGTTAGTTCAACTGCCTCTGGTCGGTTGACAAGTTCTTGCCCAACATATCTTGATAAATCACACCATCTGAAGTGATTTGGCAACATAGCACACACTTTACAAAAGAATTTTCGTCCATCGACACTGACACTACCAACCTTCTGTCATCTCTCAAATGTTTGATCCTACTTATGATCATATGCCCACCATCTTGTGCAACATCAGGTGGTTCACGATGTAATTTTTAACTTTCGTTTTAAATATTTTTAATCCATTTTAATTTGTTCCTGACATACAGCTGTGTGTAGTTTATATTAATTTTGACGAATGTACCATTTATCCAGCTTTCACCAGGTTACTGGGTGTTTCCCTCAACCTAAATGTTAATAACATTTAGCAACATCCTCACATATTACTGCAAGTTAATTTAAAATTCATTTTGCACAATAGTTGCTATTTTTCTCAATGTTATTGCAGCTCATGATGAAGATGGCAAAGTCCATTGAAAGCTAGAGATTAATAAAGTATAAAGAGTCCTCTTTGCTTAAATTTTGTCGAAGTACCCAACAAAAGGAGGAAGCTTTATTTTTCACCTAACTGTTCTAGACGACAATGACCACGTCTCAAGATATACAGGGTGACTTTGAAGTTGAGTCATTTATTTTAACAGGGAGTAGATCTGATCAAAAGAAATGTTCTTTTCCTTTAACATTTTTCTGGTAAAATTAAAGTAACAAAGTTATAGCCCTTAAGAAGTTTGAGTACCGCCCTGTCTCAATAATAATATGTGCTCGTGTTTGGCAACAGCGGATATAATCCGCCTTATCGGTTCATCGCATCGGAAATAAAAAAGCGAAAGAATTTGAAACGCTTATCACGATGTTTTTAGTTGTATTCAGTCAATGTGTCAGTCGGTAACGCGTGAGTGAATAGTGGTGTTTGTTGCGTGGCTCAAACGAAATAAAAAATGGCACATGTTTACGAAAATGCTGAACTTGTGGACATGATTCTTATTTACGGATTTATGCGGATCGGTTTCCCAATCGAGTGCAGCCAACCCCTCGTGCCTTTGTTAATGTAGTACAACGGGTTCGTGAATCATTTGACTTAAGACCTCACATATGGACGGCATGCCGGTGCTCCAAGACCTCACGATCAAATACAGGTCCGCACTGAAATTCTTGTCGGGAGGATACTTTATAAAACAGGGTAAATTTTTTTTTTATTTTTTTTTATTTTTACACACATATTTGGGTTTATCTTCCTTCTACAATCATTATCTGAAAATTAATGACTCAACTTCAAAGTCACCCTGTATATACAGGGTGACGTACTGTCACGTATTCCTGTTAAGGGGTGATAGATTAGGTCAAAAGCAACGGATTTTGTCCTATAATGTCCTATCCAGAAGTTAACCGTTTTTGAGTTATATGAATTTTATTTTTTTTATTCCGATTTCAGACGGTTCAATTTGAAAAACAAAAAACTACATGTTTGATTTAGAGTTTTTTCTTATCGTCGCACAGCGGACATTCCAATAGTTCATAATAAGTAATAAAATGTTGAAAACTTACAAAAGTTTTAAAATTACGCTTTTGAAATGTAAGATTTTCTTATTTTTTTACTAACTTATTCGATAAAAAATGCAATTTTCTGTAAAAAATCTCCTAGTAATGAAATGTGCAAATTATGTAAATAATATCTCTATCTAACAAGCTTTCATTTGAGGTATAAAAGTTACAACTAACTCAAGTACAAAGACATAAAATTAAAAAAAGATGAGTATAGTTGTATGAACGATAATTACGTAGGATAAATAAAAGGCTTTTATTTTAATTACAGTTTTATTTAATTACATTTCCTTTAGTATTTTACAGATTCTGCTCAAATTGTAATCCCCTGTTACGAATACACGCCCGCATTCTCTTAAGTAATTTACTTTTGGTAACTTTAGTTGTTAAGCGGCTTTTTATTTGGTCAGCTGCACTGATTATCCCTGTAATTAATTCATCGCGCGTTGGTACGGGCGAAACAGCGTACACCAGGCTTTTCATATGTCCCCACACATAGTAATCCATCGGTGTGAGATCTGGGCTTCTTGCTGGCCAGGCAATGGGCCCGCCTCTGCCAAACCATTGATTTGGAAATTTAGAGTCTAAATACGCCCGTACTAATCTACTGTAGTGTGCGGGACAGCCGTCGTGCTGGAAGCCGCATATTTTGTCTCGTCGCCAATGGGACGTCTTCCATTAATGGAAACAAGTGATTTTTCAAGAACTCTTCATACACTTCTCCATTTAAATTGGCGGGCAGAAAATGAGGTCCAATTAAATATCCATCAATGATGCCCATCCATACATTGACTGAAAACCGGCTCTGAGACTCCATCGGTCTTATTTGTCGGGGGTTTAAAGCTTCTTCAGCCCAGTAATGAGCATTATGGTAGTTAGTGATCCCGTCCTTATCAGACTTCGATTCATCGGTCCACAGAATTTTCTTAAAATAGTCTGTATCTTCTGTATCTGCATGTAACATGTACCTGCAGAAATCTAATCGTCTTGCAGGATCGCCCTCTTCAATCACATGCACAGGCGTGTAGTGATAAGGGTATAATCTTGCAGTATGCACAGTACACCATACTTTGTATTGTGATATACCCAACTGAGCAGCCACAATGCGCGTAGACGTCTTCCTGAAACACACGAAGGATTTCCTCTTCATCTTCAGGAGGATAGACTCAGGGTCGACCAGCATCACTATGTTGCCTTTGAATAAGTCCGGTTTGGCAGATGCGCCGATACACAGGGTCAAACACAGTAACATGAGGTGTTCGGCGATTCGAGAAACGTTGCCGATATTCACGGCGGGCAGCTGCAGAATCGCCGTTACAAAGTCCATAACAGAACATTATGTCTGCTTATTCTTCGTTCGTAAAACATGCGCGCGTACGGAGTAGTTGATACCAACTAAACCTAATTGTCACTCGGCGTGCGGCGATGGTGTAACTACAAAGATGGATAATAACAGCTCTCTCTCTCACTCATCCACTAAGTCAGCTCTTCTCGCTCGCTTCCTCGTCGAGCCGATTCCATAAAGCAATCATGGCATGCGAGTCCTTTGAGGACAGTAACGACTTGTCCAAACAGGTAATACAAATTCCTTAAAAATCCCGCCTCTGTGGGTGTCATTGTTGTTTCTCTGCATGTACTTCAGATAATTGAACGCTTAATACCTCAAATGAAAGCTTGTTATATATAGATATTATTTACATAATTTGCACATTTCATTACTAGGAGATTTTTTACAGAAAATTGCATTTTTTATCGAATAAGTTAGTAAAAAAATAAGAAAATGATACATTTCAAAAGCGTAATTTTAAAACGTTTGTAGCTTTTCAACATTTTATTACTTATTATGAAGTATTGGAACGTCTGCTATGCGACGATAACAAACAACTCAAAATCAAGCATGCAGTTTTTTTGTATTTCAATTTTAACCGTCTGAAATCGGAATAAAAAATAAAAAACTTAAAATTCAAATAACTCAAAAATGGTTAACTTTTTGATAAGAACAAAATCGGTTGCTTTTGACCTAATCTATCACCGCTTAACAGGAATACGTGACATTACAAGTCACCCTGTATATACATGTATATAAACAACATTTAGCAACATCCTCACATACTACTCTCCTGATGATGATGGCAAAGACCATTGAAAGCTAGAGAGAATAAAAAAGTATAAAGATTCCTCCTTGCTTAAATTTTGTCGAAGTACCCAACAAAAGGCGGAAGCTTTAATTTTCACATATATATATATATATATATATATATATATATATATATATATTAATTGGGAAATTGGCAAAATTTAGGCTCTGGTAAACTCTTTTAACGGTAATCTCGAGCTTTCGGCACGCTATGGAGTCATCATCAGGAAGCGTCGCTGAGGTTGCACCCAAATGGTGTTTCAAAACGACAGCTTGGATGAGAGCACTTGTCGCAATTATAAAACCAATCGGATGGACACATTGGGTTTTTTAGTAACGACGGTCATCTGTCGACGCATCACTCTTCCGGCCTCGCTCATTATCTCCACGTGAAACAGATGTAGGAGGTTAGAAGGGACTCTGCCGTGTTTTTTTTCCCCAAAATTGCAGTTAGATAATTTTTAATGTGTTCGGGTGTATTAATATATAGTGTTAACACCTAACTATGGTTTCCGTCCTTTTTCTTTTTAGGCCTTTTTCTCTGTCGCCACCGGACAGATTTTCTAAAACCACCAATCTTTTGCGTCCTTGTCATAGTAGTAACATTGTATAAAAATTTTATCGAAGGTACTTCTCAAGCTAAAGGCGGTTATAAGAATAGCGGACAGACCGAGAGACAGACAGACCGACGGAAATGAGTGTCATGGTTTTTCGTTATGTACATGTCATATTACATCAAAAAAACTTAATATCTGATTTTCGAAAATTTACGATTACAATACATCAAAAGGCGTTGGAAGCAAAATAAGGAATTAATTGTGTTACAGCTATTTCAGTTTATCGGTAATTGGAATGTTGTTAATTTATTGAACTTTCATAAAATGCATAATAAAATATAAAGAGAAATACCTTTTTTTTAGGGCTATAGCAGACAAATATAAGGACCAACTGATACCAACCTTGGAGCAGTTGGAAGAAGATGTTGAATACTATCGTTCCCTAGACATGATTCCCTTAAATAAGATGCCGCATGGTGACATGGACGATACAAAAACTTGGCTAGATCCGGACGAAGAGCGTATCGATCGGCAACTTGTGGATTTTTTCACTTATTCACTCTTAGAAAGTGACAAGAGCTCTTACGAAAAGAAATATTACGACTTGAAATGTACAATGCGTGAAGTCGAAACCTCATTGAATGTGCTACAATCCAAATTCATTATAAACAACGATTTCGTTAAACATTTGACTAATAACAGATTACTAGACTCTATAGATCACGATATTCTTCATGAATATACTAGATATCAGAGAAATCTAAAACAATCTGGCGCCATTCGACTCTCCAGTTCGAAATTATTTCCACCAAATGTAAATACTTGCTATGCACTAAGGCGTCTCTTAATACACCACGCAAAACATAAGCAATTAAGTCGACCCAAGTTGAACCTCACAGATTGTTCATTTAATAATACCTCAGAAAATGAGCCATATGATTTTTTGGAAAAAATTGGGAAATCTCGAAGAAAACTGTTATTATTGCAGATTAATATGTTTTATCATCAATTCTACAGACTTTTCAAGTGGCCTGGTATGCTGTCTAGTATGCAACCGCGTCCAGGATTGCTATATGGTAGCCAAAATATACCAATGCAACATTTTAGAAAAGGAGTTGAAAAACACTATACCCGACAAAATCAAGCCACAACTTCTGTTTTCAACCCTGACATTTCGAACATGTCTCAGCAACATCCTGGAAGAAGTGGAAGCAGTGCTAAAAATTGTACAGAATCAATTCAAACTGAAGATACTAAACGGAAAAATAGAGAGGTGAAACGCTGTCAGTTCAGCATCCAACAGTTGGAAGATACTGATGACATAATTTCCACAAATATGATACCAGATGATGATATTGATACTACAAAAACTTCGCTAGATCTGGACGAAGAGCGTATCGATCAGAAACTTGTGAATTTTTTCACTTTTTCACTCCTAGAAAGGAACAAGAACTCTTATGAAAAGAAAGATTACGATTTGAAGTGTACAGTGCGTGAGGTCGAAACATCATTAAATGCGCTACAATCCAAACTTGTTATAAACAACGAAATATCTTATAATAGATTATTAGATCCTATAGATCACAATATTCTTTACAATTATAGAAGAAACCAGGGAAATCTAAAAGAATTTGGCGTGATTAGGCTCTCCATTGCGAAATTATTCCCACCAAATGTAAATAACTGCTGCGCGTTAAGGCGTATTTTAATACACTACACAAAACATGAGCAATTAAGTCGGTCCAAAATGAACCTCACAGATTGTTTATACAATAATCCCCCAGAAAATGAAATGTATTCTTTTTTGGAAAAAGTTGGAGAATTTCGAAGAAAGAGATTATTATTGCAGATCAATATATTTTACCATTGTTTTTACAAACTTTTCAAATGGGCTGCTATGTTGTCTAGCATGCAACCGCATCCAAGATTGCTGTACAGTAGCCAAAATATGCTAATGCGAGGTATTAGAAGAAGAGTTGAAAAACAATATTGTAGACAGAATCACGGCAGAAGTTCCGGTTCAAAAGTGTTAAGTAAAAGTGATCGCTCGGAATATAGTTCAGGCTCGCAACAATATCCTGAAAAGAGATTATGTAGTGATGATGATTGTACAGAAGTAAGACAAAATGCTACTAAATTCCAAAATGGTGCGATTGAACGCTCACAGATCAGTATTCAAATTATCAGAAGTGCTAAAAATGGTACGGAAGTAATTCAAGTTTTGCCAAATACTTGCGAAGGTGGAACGACTGGAAATCTTAAATCTGAAGTAAATGAAAATAGAAAAATAAATCAAATAGCAGCAAACTCGGCTAGTAAGCAACTTCAGCTTAAAGCATACTCTAGGAAAAATCTTCAAATTAAAAATGAATATGACGCAGGTTGTAGCAATCGGGAACGTTCAAACAATACTCAAAATGAAGCTTCTAAAGAATATATTGAGAACACAGCCGAGATATCTTCAGCAAAAGGAAGCTTACCTCAACCATTCAATTTTGTTAACGTTAAGTGTGAAATACCTGATGATTATACGGGTAAACACTGTCCTGATGGAAACTATCCAACTATACTTGGTTGCACTGCTACAGAAGAAAGAACACACAATATTAGAAAACGTTCGAATAACGAAAGTTCTATGAGACCAATTAGCAACGCAAGGAAAATTCACACTAACAAATCCATCATAGCACCTCTGAAGCTTGTACCTGTTGCACAAAAGAGTGTCATCAAGGATTTGATGAAAGATAAGTCAAAAAAGTTATTCATATTGAGCACTTCGCCAAATAAAATTCAAGTGGAAACTTTCATAAAAGAAATGAAGTTGAATCGAACAGAGAGCGTGCCATTGATTGTATCTAAAATATCGCCTGAGCAGAAGTATCCTGACAGACGCAGCAGGTGTATTCGAGACATGGACGATACTATATCTCTAAAAAAAATCGAAGATGAAGATATCCATGACGGTAAGGACTCGATAGAAATCGCGGATGAAGTTGCAGAATGTGAAGTCATAGAACAGAAACAACGTGACGAAAAAGGTAGGTGGTTTATCAGGCATTGCACATTATTCGGGAAGAATATTGTATAGAATCCTTAGCCTGGTAGTAATTAACAATACCAGGAATAAATATCAATGCTCGTCAAACCAATTTCACGTCATGCTCGAAAATGCATGGAGCTCGCTAGCTTCAAGCTGCAAAAATGTTTTCTTGTTCGACATCAATAAAATCACTAGTTTTGTTTTGGTACAGTTTTATGAATTTTAGAACGATGCGGCCAATTTATTCTGATAATTGATTCGGAATCAGCTACTCTAAAAATCTTGGAGCATAAATTACCCTACAGAAACTTTATGGGAAATGGGTTACGGCTATTTTTTAATAAAGCTAGCATGATAAATAATACAGTTACTAGTAGAAGAACCACTCATCGAAAAAACATATACAGATTCTGCCGAGGTGGCTGAGATGATACCTCTGGTGGCTGAAATGCTACCTGCCATTTGGATCCGATCACCCATTCATTACCTGCGGTAATAGTCCAGGAAACATGTTCCCTTCTGCACGGTAAAATATTTTGATTTTTGCCCGACCTTAATAAGGGAGAAAAATCATTCTTGACAAGAAAATCTAAATTGAGAACTTTAACTCTTCTATAGATTTATCGACATAAGACAGAACAAAGTGCCATCTGTCACCAGAATCGACCACTGTGAAAGTGAAAACAATTCGCAGTGGTCGATTCTGGTAACAAATGGCAGTTTGTGCTATCTTATTTCGATAGACTTTATACTATGGATAGGGCATAAATGTTCAGCTTTCGTTCAGTGTCCTACCTAAGACCAAGCCTACACCTGAGGAGTTGCCAAGTAGCATGAAACAGCTGTGCATGGTTGGCCGTCTGTAATGGGACGGACGAAAGCTATACCTATACTAGTTCGATCTATAGATTTATTTAAGAAAGTTACTAATGGTACACCTCCTGCAGTGGCATTAATACCATATCCTTTGTAATTTATAGAATTCTCATTTCATTTCTACGCTTTTGCATCCATTTTCAAAGTTGTGACCATACAGTGTATCCTAAGTTTTGACAAAATCAACACGGTGGTTACTGTTAATGTTAATGACAAAGAAGACAGTACGATAGATGAATCATCGCCAGCCAGTGAAGAAGAGGGTAAAAACTATTTTTTATCTCGCACATTTTTAAGCAAAGGATATTTGTCATCTACTAGTAACTCTGTATGCGTTGGTAAGATGTGAAATACTTGTTTAATATTCAATCACAATCTTATCATCCCCACTGGGCAGCTTACCAAAACTACAAATCTATGGTGCCTCAAACTTCATAGATGAAGTATTGCTCGGAGACACAAACTCCCCTCTCACATCTCTATACATATTTCCGTATCTTGGTGCGAATATTACCTTGCTAAACCCTGAATTATGGGCTCTCAGAAGTGCAGCCTAAGCATGCGAAGTTTCAATATTCCCACATTATCAGTCAACAAGCTGAAAAGTGGTTACATTTGTAATATTAGTTTGAGGAAGAAAAGGTTACATAACTAAACATTTCAATTCGATTTCGTGTAATTCTAAAAAGCTAAATTTTTCGACTTGAATAAATGAAGTTGTGAAATTACTACAGTTTCTTGCTCCGCAAATGGTAGGAATCTGGATCGTTCTAATGCCTGGTTCATGCAACACTCAACTTAGCGTAACGTAAGAAAATAAGTAGTTATCTGCATTAACAATCGGTAGCAACGTAGCAGTGACGACAACTTGAACATCCTAAAAGATCATGTATAGCGGACAAAAAAGAGTTTGTGCCTGAAGAATTTGGGGACCAAGCCTTGACATTGACAGCAGTTCGTTTTCCCTCACTTGCGCCCCATGTAGCAGCAGTCAGCCACAGGACACAGATAATAGTCCAGACAAATTGTTGGACAGTTTTTTGACAACAGATCCCAGAAATTGGTTGGTTCGCAAGGGTCGAAGTGTTTTATGGTTTTTAGGATATTCTTATACTTTAACTTAACCCTAATCACCCCTGGGCATATAGGGGAAAGGGGGAACCACCTACGAGCAATTACAACATCGGTAGTCAAGAGAAACATTCTCTTGGGACGTGTATAGGAACTGCTCTGCCTACGGCAACAGATTAGTAGACACGTTACGTCTACCACTACGTCACTGCTGCTGCCTAAATACTTAATGAAGCACAGGCTCAATGTATATTTTGTGATGTGATGAGACTGATGTTCTTTTGTGATTTTTTCAATTTTTTTAATCAATTTGCCACCCTCAAAATAACTTCTGAAGCCACACAACGCTGGATACGGTTCTTCCACTCCTCATAGCAGTGCAGGAACTGGAGCAGCCTTCAGCTGGTCAGTTGAGCCGTTTGAATATTTTCAGTTCACTCCAGGTGAAGTCAGGCGAATAAGGAGGCTGAGGAGCCACAGGAATATTTTTAATGGCCAAAAACGCGTCTATTGACATCGCTGTGTGACAAGGAGCCTTATCGTGATGCAACGCCCAGTTGTTCTTGATCGCGAGTCAAATTTAACTCTTCTTCGATCATTTTAACTGTCAAACGATGATCTGAATGCACAACATCCCGGATTCTGTTGATATTTTAATTGGTTCTTGGAGATGAAGGTCTTCCGATTCGTAGTTCACCTTCAATCGACTCTCTCACTTCTGAAAATGCCTTAAATCACCGAAAAATTGTTGAACATTTGGAAGCGGAGATTCTGCAATTGAATGAGTTTGTTTCCGTTGGTGAGGTTGACAACGATGATTCTATTTCGATAACATTGACTGATAATGAAGAGTGATTGGAAGTTGTGAAAGAACATGTGTATGAACAATTACAAACCAATTTCAGTGGTAAGTGAATAGAGAAATTAATAAAAAAGAATGTTATCTGTCATTAATACTCGCAATCTATTGAATGATGAATTTCAATATGGTTTTATAACGCACAGTAGCACACTTAGTGCGGTTGTCGATTTTGTGGATTACATTTCACTGGCTTTAGATAAACAACAAATAGTTGTAGCTGTTTTCATTGACCTAAAAAAAGCTTCTGACGTAGTAAGCACAGACATTCTTTTGGATAAATTGTTTAAAATGGAGTTTAGAGGAGTTTTGTACAGCTTGATTAACACTTATTTATATGACAGAAGACAGTATATCTTATTAATGATCACCTGAATAGTTATACCAAATGGCTGTTTTCAAATAGATTAAAAATTAACATTGAATAAACAAAATACATTATATTAAAACAAAAAATTTGTCAGTCAACAATAATCTAAATATTAACATAAATAATATAGCGCTAGAAAAAGTGTCAAGTATTAAATATTTGGGATTACTAATAGATGAAAATTTAAATTGGTCACTACACTTAAATGGAATTTCTGATAAAATAGTTTCAGTGCTATCTGCCGTATATAAGAGTTGAGATTATTTGTCTAACAAAAGCAAATTTCAAATTTATAATGCCTTCTTTCTCACACATTTTAGGTATCTCTTGCCAGTATGGGGTTTGTGCGGTGAAGTTAATTTTAATAAAGCTCAACTTTTGCAAAATAAAATTTTCAAAATATTGTTTAATTTTGATTGACTTACAAGTCATAATACAATTTATTCAAATTTAAATAAATTAAGATTGATCAAGAACAAGATCACTAAATAATGTTTATCAAGTTTCCACAAGAACTAATATAGGTTTAAAAAATCCAATCACACGCAATTGAAAAATTTAATAATTTACCTCATTGTATAAAAGATTTAAATAACTATATACATTTTTTAGAGAATTGAAAAATTTTAATTAATTTATTTGTTGAAATTATGAGCAACATTGCACTGTGTATTTTATAGATATTGATTATTGTTTTGTCATTCTCGGGGCCAGTGTTTGGAAGCACTGATTTGAGAATTATTGTCCAAACTGGTTAATTATGTAGTCGGAACTTCAAACTTCGTTTTTAAAAAACCTTATTTGGTTCTAACAATAGTGTACATGGACCGAACCGGAATTACAGTGTGTGTGTTCGCTGTGACCGAGATTGAATGACTCATAATTAAGATACAATCTGTAATATAAACCAAAAGTGATGAGCTAGTAAAAAGGAATACAGTGCAATTATTATATCAATTAATAAAGTGTTAAATGACAGCAACACCCTTAAGATGAAGTTTTGGAGGGCACAAACAAAACTTCATGCCTCTGGGGTTGAATTTCGATTTCTTCTAAATGCTGGCTTCTTCTTGATAATTTTCTTCTCTGGTAATACTTTTTCACGAAAATGCATGCAATTCCAATTAACATAATTGCATACAGGGGTAGATTCCGTTTGTAGGGGTGCTTCACTGTTTCTGGAAGATCTACCTGGATTTGGTCGGCTCGTTCTTGCAAGTGATGAAGTAAGGAAATATGTACTAACTTGATTTCCTTTGGATTTTCTGTTCTTGGTGAAATTTGGACCTCTGGAAGCAACAGCGGCTTTTCTATGGTTGCTCCTTTTTGATTTTTGTAAATGTAGTCCTTCGTTTGGATGCTGCACTGGTAAGGCACTTCAAGTAGGTAAATGCCTTTTAACTCTATGACGTCATCTTGTTCACACTTGATTATCAGCTTGTCAGGTTTTGGAAAAATTGCAATGTATTTTGACTCTGAAACTTCTTCAATTAAGGCCATTTTAGAGTTACGGGAATTTTTTTAAAATTTGGCTGCTTTTTGTTTACTTGTAAAATAGCAAATAGACAATCGTCTTCTTCTGCTACATGGACCAATTTGTTTTCGTGGCAAATAAAAATATCTTCTATCATTTGACATGGTTCAGCATCATATTGGTACATTTTGGTACTCATCGTGAAATAGGAATTTTTGGGAATAATGGTAGTTTGGTTAACAGTAGGAATGGAATAAAGATGATAATGCTTAAATTTATCTACGTGCAAAAAAGGAACATGTAAGGCAAAAACTAATCGATTTTGGGAAAAATATGCTTCTACTGAAATTATGTCGTAAAGCTTATACATATCTTTGATGTCTGAATACGCCAACTGAGCTTTATTATGATTTTTGACTAATATTTGAAATATTGACTTTAATTCATCTATCGAAATAATACTGTGGTGCAATGACCCAATTTTGGCAAATGCGATGGCATTTTCCAAATTACTGGTTATAGAGAGCAATGTATCTAAATTGAACTTGCATCTCTACCAAAGTTTGTTCTATTACAGCTTGATTATGAACCATAGGGTTAAATGTCTTAAAGTTATTTTTGAGAACCTCTTGGGTCAAGGAAATTTGCTGATTAACTGTCTTAATTACATGATTCTGATTTTTCTATAACTGTTCAATAGCCTGGTCATATTTTTTAGCATCGCCGTCATCTAGGTTTCCTGAAATCATTTTGATAATTGATCCTAAACCATTTATTAAGCCTCGTTTTGGGCGATATTGCGTTTTCCAGAATGGATATATGGACTTTATTTTATTTTTTAAATTAGACATCGAGATCTACAGACTGTTCCATATCTGCCAAATGTGTATCTGGAATGAATCCTAATTTATATTTATTCTTTTCTGTTTGGTCCTTGATTTCTTGAAATACTGTACTTAGCGAATTTACTTCCTTAATTATTGGCTCAAACTCTACATAGTGTAAAAATGTGTTTTCCTATTTTTACTTTAGCATCACCTAATCTGTAGGGTACTATACCAGGGTTTGTTTTAAGGTTGGTGACCTTCACCGTGGATTGATGTGTCAGATGCACTATCAGAAGAAGTATCATCCTGTAACAAATTTTGAGTTACTTTCTTTCTGGGCTTTTTGAAAATACTTTTATGATAAATATTTCTATGAGTTTTTAGCTTTAAACCTTTGTCAGTCAACATTTGTTCTTTTATATAGTGTGGTTTTAGCTTTTTACCCCGGGACTTCGCGTCACGTCGGTTCGCTACTTTTTCTCTAGAATAGTCGGTCGGTTTCTATCGATCTTTATTAGCTTTTCGAATAACCTTTTCCTTTTGGGTTTTCGACATGTCATAGATAAGGCTATACATTAATTTTGTACTAGTCTTTTGTTCTTGAAGGTAATTGTTCATTAATTCTCGATCAACGTCTAGATCAAAAGGATCTCTAACGTCTAAATCTCCGTTAATAATTTCAATTGGTTTTCGTTTCGTCACTGAATGTATAGACTGATTGTTACCAAGAATTACATAGGGCATCAAAGAATTAACATCCTTTTTTGGAAATTGCAATGCCAGAGGTCTTAAATGTTCGGTTATAGTGGAGTGGAATCGTTCAATAGGTGAATTACTATTTGAATTTTTGGAAGTTGTAAAATGTAGCTTTATCTTATAGAATTTTGCAAACTCTTTTATTAAAGGACATGAATTTGATCAAATTGTCTACAACAGAGATAGCATCAGCTGCTTCGATTGGGAAGGCTTGCGCATAATTTGAAAATATGATTTGGATGGAAGGGCAGGCAGAGGTGGCTTATTGAAATTTGAATGTGCACCAGCCTTTTGTAAATATCTGTTATTATCTTCTAAAATATAAGCTTGAGCTTCTGCCAATTTTTTAGGTTTCATCGACCGAATCATGGAACTTTGTGGTTCCTTTAAACCTACTAAAAGTGTATGCAATGCATGACTATCATACAGTGCCTTTTTACTAGTTTTGATAGCATCAACTGTTTCATGAATATTTATATAGTTATGTAAATGATTGAGCATGGTTACAACTCTAGAATAAAACTGTAAAGAGCTTTCATTAGAATTTTGTCTAAGGGCAGTCATATCTGAGATAAGACTACTCTTGTTTCTTTCATCACAAAAATGAGCAATTAGCAAATTTTTATGCTGTTCCAGAGTGTGGAACCGCTAAGAGAAAAAACTTGCTTTGCAGCAGAGCATTTCGAGAAAATGCCATGCAGCAGTATTGTGTTTTGGACACATCCTGTATCTTCAGTGTTCCAATAGTTATTTAATAAATTTATGCTTATTTTTAAATATCTATATAGTCTACAGGGATTCCCATCAAATTCTGGAACAATTTATATTAATTTTATGTCAAACTGGGGGGTGGACGTCGACTTCAACAGGACAAAGAGGCACTTGTGGTCCAAATTCTTTCTTCTTCAGTCGTACCGGCTCGTCACGGAGGTTCGTGATTCCCAATTAAGAATTCGGATTCAAGTGCTAATCGGCAAAATCCCTTCGTTTTTAAAAAACTTTATTTGGTTCCAAAAATAGTGTACATGGACCGAACTGGAATTACAGTGTGTGTGTGTTCGCTGTGACCGAGATTGAATGAGTGACTCATAATAATAATAATAATAATAATAAAGCATTTATTGCCCAACAGTACAGGTACCATTTAAAGAGCAATACATAATACAATGGTTTAATTTACACAGTCTGTGTGTCATAAAGTGAAACAAACATAAAAAAAATAAAAACACACAGAAAAGAGAAAGGCGCTTTAAGTAGAGAAAAAAGAAACTATAAATATGATCAATAGATATTAGGAAACCAGAATATACTGGTATATACACAAATATCCATATACACATACACACATATATGAGTATACACATATACAGGTATACATATATACACATAAATACATACATACAATACATATATACATATACAACAAATGAAAACCCCTAGAGAAAGGCGTAAAAAAGTCAAAGATGTGAACGTATAGCACTTCGTAATTCCTGAAATCCACAACAGAAGATATCACAAAAACTCACAATCCTATTCGCATTATTGCACATAAAGTTTATTGGTGCTTTAGATAGAAGATTTGTCTGCGCCCTCTTGCAGTGAAAGGAAACCTTATATTTAGACGTCAATCTAGGTACCAGGAAATTAATTTGCGATAGCAAAACAGGACAGTCGATGTTACCATGCAGTAATTTGTATAAAAATATGATGGACGCCTGCTCTCTGCGCTTTTCCAAAGAAGGGATGCCAAATCTATTCAGTAATTGTGAGTAGTCACATCCTCTTGGAGGATAGACACCATCACTCCTATAGCATAGATATTTTAGAAATTTCTTCTGCACTTTTTCAACATTAGTTTTGTACAGTTTATAGGTAGGACTCCAAATAATTGCACCGTATTCTAATTTACTTATAACAAGCACTGAAAATAACTTAATAAGCGTTGTGTTATTGAAATTTCTACAATTTCTGATAATAAAGCCATATTTGCGATACGCTTTACTTATAATTTCACTGATGTGGTAGTTAAAAGTGAGCTGACAATCGAAATAGACGCCCAAATCTCTGAAAGTTTCACACCTTTCCAATACAGAATCATCTATTTTGTATGGGTAAGTTAAAAATTTGGCTTTCCGGGTGAAGGTCAAAATGCGGCATTTAGAATTGTTCAAATACAAATTGTTATTAACACACCATGTTTGTAAAATAACTAGTTGTTGTTGGAGGTTTTCACAATCCTGCCAGCTAGAAACACACGCGTAAAGCTTCAGATCATAAGCAAACATAAGCTTCTTGCATGATAATGTGCTGATAATAAAACTCATAATTAAGATACAATCGTTAATATAAAACAAAAGTGATGAGCTAGTAAAAAGGAATACAATGCAATTATTATATCAATTAATAAAGTGTTAAATGATAGCAACATAACTGGTTATACATTTTGTGTCATTGTGTTTAAATAAATTATTTCAAAACAAAGTCAATATATTTCTCAACTAGTCTTGCATAGCAACAGGACATTATAATGAAACAGCTGTAAGCACCTGATAATATATAATTTACTAAAATACATATCCTTAGGCCAGCCATAGCTCACCTGCGAAACGTACAAAATATTAACAATATCAAAAAAGTGTTGTTATGGCGGCCTATGTTTTGTATTTATACTAATTTAGTTCATTCTCCTCAAAAGTTAGTTACGGAACATACATTATTATGGATAGGTAGGTATTCAAATCAGAATACTTTCCAAATACCACTACTTCACCACAATCACAGCAAACAAGTAAATAATGTTTTTCGCCGCTACTGGTTCTAACCTAAAACCATCAAACACATGACAACTAGTGTTGGAGCGTAGATAACCATGCTTCCAACCTTGTAACGTCCTTTGACGCGGGTCAAATTTACCGACAAGAGCCCGAACGTGCCATGTGGCGAACGTTGGACACATGTAATCCGTCAGCGCTCTTCCATACGATGTGGCGAATGGCCATGTGTCCAACGTTGTCAGGCATTCGCCACATCCTGTGGGACCGGCTTAATCCAGACGCGTCCAGTGTTGCCAGATCGAATGCTACGTTGCCGGTCTCATTACTTAATCGAGATGGTACTTCTTACGTAATTTGCAAAGAGCGCCACAAGCCTTAAAGGTAGATGTTTCCACCAGTAAGTATTATTATTATGTTGAAACAGTGTTGTCACTTTGGGAGACATTGGTAGCCAAATGACTCAAAAATATGCATTAAAACTACGCAATTTTGTCGACAAACGATGCAATGTAAACATATAACCCTAATGAAGGTAAATATTTCGACAAACGATGCAATGTAAGCATATAGGCTTGGTTCCTTCTAATCTATTCAAATTCGTTGATGCCTAACATATATGCAATATCTCTCTCGCGCACGCTGATTATACATAGATCGTGCGATTTACAATTAATAATTAAGGTTTTCAATAACAATATCGCTTAACAGGCTTTGCGATTTTTGTTAATGGATGTTTGACGATTATTGAAGTTTGGCTACTTTAAAATTTTTGTGTTTTCAGATTGTTTATCGGGGGTCGAAAATGCCATATTTTGCACTTTCTCAAATATTGAATCCCTTGTATCTTGAAAACTATCAACTTTACAAAACAGTTCTGAGTTACTTTGTTTAGAACATCCCAAAAAGCTCAAAACCAACTCGACCGGTGGGCAAAAATAAATTTTTTAAATTTATTTGAAAAAAGATTTAAACATTTGAATCAGTCAGTGCAAAACCCTCTAAGTACCATGATTTGAATTTTTCAGGAGATAGTAAAACCAGTGTCATTGACAAATAAACCTGTTTTGAAGTGCTTTTTGAGCTTATTGTTGAAGTTGAGTTCTAAAAGATTAAAATTCCGAATAACTTTCACAGTGGATTAATGATAGTAATGAAAAATCCCGAACAACTGTGTTGGACTTGTTTTAGCAGAAAATGGGGTTAGTGGTATATAACTTAAGCAAAATAATCAAATCAATGGTGTTTTTTATTGTTTATTATTGAAAAATTTACTTTAATATTGACTTATTAACATGTCACATGTTTTAATTTTGCATTCAAAGCGAACACCTGCGAAACTTTACCCGCTTTAGACCCAAACCATGAATTGACCATCGTGAAAAAATACAAAGATGTTCTTCAATAATAGACAATCGTTTGTATAAAACACCACAGATGTAACAGAAATTGATCTTGCATCAATCTGAAAATTGAATAGTTACAGACACGACATTCACGGACACTGCATTGTCCTGGTTGAAGGCATTTCATGACTTCATGATTTTTGTAATTTCTACCCATTTAGAATTACCCAAGTAATGTTCAGACCTCATTCGGGAAATCGAGCCTTTATCAATTCGGTCATATTCTGAATTAATTATATAGGTGATTCATTGACCTTTAAAATCATATTGTGTTTCAAATTCTAAAAAGTAGAGATGATTAACATAGACAAAAACTGTTTATCTTATTTTATTCCTACCTTACTTGAAATGTAGTTATGATTATTAGCAGCCATTCTGCTTGTAGCGCTTTTTTCAGATGCGAAGGAACTTTTATAAATAAAAGAGTTGTTAGCAAGTACTAAATGAATCTGTACCGTATATAGAATCACAACAAAATACGGATGACTACCCCGCGTTGACGGATCCCACAGAATTATCGTCACTTGACGATATGGAGAGTTTTGAAATATCACTAGTCACTGTTATTCTACCGTAATGGACACTAGTAAAAAGTACTGCAGTTTATTGTTTCTTTCAATTCAAATAATAATATAACCTAGAATGAGTATTCCGTGAAAAAAAGAAAATTATTGCAAATTCACAAGTTGTCTCCCTCGAGGCTTCATTAAAAAGATACGGGGTGTTGAAGTTTAAAACTGGAATGAACTAAAATTTGGTATGTGGATTTATCTAAGTATTGTCCATATTCAAATGTATTTACTTAAAATGAACGTGCACCAGTGGCGGAGATACAGGGGATTCGTGGCATTATTTTTCCAAATAAAAATAGTACGCCACTGTATTTTTTTTTATGAAACTCACAATTTTTCGAATTTTATCTTCAATTTGCTACAAATAATTACATGATCAAACGAACTTACCTGTAAGTGATGTTTGATCTTAATTATGTGAAGTCCTCGCCGAAGTAAATATTTCTCGTAGTAGTACCCAACCGCTACGATTTCAAAGCGCGCACGCAGAGAAGGAAAGCGGCACCGCGCCTCTTCCCCCTAGCTTTCTCCCCTCTGGCCGCCTATAAACCTTCATTCCTTGTTCTCGTGCCCGACCGTCTTTAGAATTAGAAAACAGGACAGAAGGTTGGCCGATAGATGTGCATTGTCGATCGAGATACCGACCGACGGTCGCCTGAAGGTTCCTTTCATCGCGGACCAAAATTAGAAAGTGGCGTGCAGGCCTATGTATCACCCAATTGTTGCAACAACTTGGCTTTGAAGTAAATGAAGGTTTATAGGCGGCCAGAGGGGAGAAAGGTAGGGGGAAGGGACGCGGTGCCGCTTTCCGTCTCTGCGTGCGCGCTTTGAAACCGTGGCGGTTGGGTACTACGATATGTATTCTAAATATTTACTTCGACGAGGACGGAACATAATTACTCGTGTGTTTTTCCTAGAGTGCACTGTTTTCGTAAAAATAGAAATAAAACAAATTAGATCATTCATGAAGAGCCGAGATACAATTAGTTTCAAAATGAAATAGGAGGCCTTGATAGCAACTTGACGTTTCTTCTGAGATTTGTCAAAGTTATGTTATACGGTTATTATCGTTACTACTACGATTTTGTTTTTTTTTTGTAAAAGTCAAGACATCTTATACTTTGACAATATTTTGTCGAATGGACTTAAAGCTCTTTTGCTATATTTTACGGACTGCTCTTTTCTGGTACCCTATTGGTGGAAATTAACACAGCTTGACTACTGGCCTCAAGGTGACAGCACGAGTGTTAGGGATGCAGTTCAATTATTCTGCCGATCTGCCATTTAAATGGTCTGATCAATTCTAGATATATCGAAGTTAATTTTGCATATCTGTAACTGTAAAATGTCACATAAGTCTTTGAATATGAAGTGACTAGTAGACCCACTGTCAAGTAAGACTCTACATTCATGTGTGTTATCTAAAGCATCGAAAATAGCCGTAGCTAGAAGGATCTGAGAAGATTTGTTTGTTTGAGAGTGATTAGAAGATAAAGAAACAATGTTATAATTTCTCACAAGATTTCCGGCTGGTCGAGTCACATCGGCAACGTTGCGTTCTAAGGCGGCGCGATCTCCGAGCTCAGCTGTGGCACGATACACATACACTGAAGATAGGATGTTGCGCATGTGGGCGGAGCTTCGTGACGTTACTTTGAGAGTTGTCGGCTCGTGGTCCCACTGCAGGATTGTATTTTTTGTGGTTTTGTGACTTGTATTAGTTATACATACTTTATATACCCTGTGTGGTTGAAAAATGAATAAAAATGCGGTGTGGTTGTGGGATGGAAGTCCGACAACCAATCTAAACGGAATCCTTGCAAAGACATGAAGTTCCACAGTTTTCCTCAAGACCCAAAAATGGCTACATCCTACAAAAAGAAAAGACAAAGTCAATGTAAAAAGCTCTAGGGTTTGCTCGAAGCACTTTTGTGTAAGGTCAATTTGAATCATGCCCTTCTGGGTTACACCCCTAAAAGATATCGCCCACTAATCGGATAATTAATGAATAAACAATGCACCCGAAGTATCAGCTGACTATAACGAGGAAGTTTTAGAGGAAGAAGTATATGAGCTCAGTATGACGACTGGAAAATTTGGCTGGCTTTGTTTGCCATACATTGCAGGATGAGAGGTTGAAAAGTTCCTCAACTGAAACTTATCCCTAGATAGACCATCTTAGGGTGGATTATCAAAACCTTTCACAGCTTTCATGGATCAAATTTAGAAGCTGAACAAGGTGTTTACTACATTCAATGGGAATAGTGAAAAAGCAAAATTTTATAGGCGAACTTCAGCAACATTGACTGCCCTGAAAAAGCTTAAAAACTATTTTTCAGATCAAGGATGTTCTTCCGGATCAAAGCACTGAATAAAAGTTTGAAAGACCAAAAACATCGTAAAAGGAAATAGAGAAAAATATTGTTGCTTAGACTAAGGCCCGTATCGTCAGTCGTCCCTACAATTGTAGGCTTCCTTGATTGTCATACCCTTTCTCTCCTTCAAAAATTTCTAGATTACACTTGTCCCGTGTCAGCGTCAGCGCTCTCCTATTGTGAAGATATGTTTTCTTTTTAAATTGTAGGAAATTTCAGGCTGATAAAACATGATATAACTCAAAAGCAAGCACAATTTGATGCAAATAGATGTTTGTGACATAACCTCAAAATAGAGCGCTGACACGAAGAAGTAGAAAACTATGAGAATCAAGGAGGCCATAAAGGCGCCCTACAATTGTAGGGACGACTGACGATACGGGCCTAAGTCATTTCCACTTATTGTTATACCGCCAGCTTACTGCAAAAAGAAGATAACTCCATTTTTCTACTTTTAGAGTTGTGTACATTTTTTCACTTACAAGTACTTAGGATGTTCTGTGAAATAAGGATAAATGTAGTAAGTACAGTATTGACGTCATGTGCATGTTAATCCTGCTTCACAGAACTTACTAAAATGTAGGTAATGTAGAAAAATCGAGTTATCTTATTTTATAGTAAAGTGACGATACGCTCTATTGTGGAGCTAGAAAGCCGTTTAAGCTATGGCCTGTGAAATAGGAATTACTAGATTGAAGTCTGTTATTAAAATCCACCACTTGGTTTTGTATAAAATTTTAATGTAGCCAGTGTCACTCTAACCGGTAAGACGAATCCAACGACACTTCATATGTGAAAATCCGTCCAGCCGTTTGGCCTGTAGGTGAAAATATGCACGTTATCCATTTCAACTCAGATGAGAATCACTGGGCTGTGGCTGCGGTTAACGTGGACGCGGCTGGGCTGTGACGCTCATTGTGAAAATGCAGTAAAGTATGATGAGGCTTACTAAAAAATTCACAAAACATGAACACTTTATGTCCGAATCTGAGACAGCTAACACAAAGATTGAGATTTGAGACGTTTTGTTTCACTAAAACGCTGTATAGGGGTTAATCTGCTAAATTCTTGAAAAATACAAATTGAATGATCCTTTTTAACTACAAATGTCCTGGGTTTGACATATTTCCTAATTGTTTGAGTTTGATTCTGTGTAAATCTATTATGATTCATCTAAAAAGATTCCAAATTTCGACATTTGTTTTTTAGAAAATCGTTAAAGTCTGTCATAGTAGGTAATTCTGGTGTTTTGGGGCGGTGCCTACATGTCACCTTTTGGGCTTACTACATTACATTGATCATGATTTTGATTTTTGAGCTACCATAACCTTATTTTATAACTAACTTTCTGAGGGTATATCACTTTGAAACATTTTTTGCATCTGCTTTACTTTTCTTGTGAAAAAGAAAGTACATGGATTTTTTTTCATGTTTTGAGTGTTTTAGCAGTGTAGTTCTGTCTCAGACAGATAATAAAGAGTAGATTTTTAAGGAGACTTTCTCTCTCTAAGGTTTTTTTATACCGTAAATTTTGGAAAACGAGATAAGCAGCCTCTACCTTGTGCAACGGCATTATGAACCAGGATGTTAACCAAAACAAACGCGATATTTGATATTTTTACATGTAAATAAAGATATAAATTCCCGACAATCGTCACGTGATTTGTTGCCTGGAGAGAATGACCTTGAGACCACCCCCCCCCCCACCCCCCCCCCTCCTCCTTCCATCCAATCCACCCAAAGAATACACAAACAGAAACAAGAAACCCTGCGCGAGGCTTGGTCTGCGGCTCGATTCCGTCAGTACGATCACAAAACTACGGGGGCTATCCAAGGGTATGACGAGTAACGAAACATGACACAAAACATTTAAATTTGCGTGACGTTGCCACAAACGTTCGTTTGACCACCACTGGAAATCACTAGCTATAATATTATAGTAACCTGTCGGTGTAACATTTTGTGTCCACTGATTATTCTTACATCATGAGTGTTGCATGAACTAGGTACTACACAAGACGCTATTCGCGGCTAATTTAACGTTAATCAATTAAAAATTATTTCATAACTTTATTTACAATTTTTAACCATCATATGATAATCATTATTCCGTTTGAATAACTGACATCAATTTCAAACGCTACTTTGATGCTGTGTTCTGCTCAAGTTACTAAAAGTAAGTAATCTTTCTTTTCAGAGAATCTCCTGCTGGACATCCGCAAACTGGACAACATTTTAAGCTGAATAATTATGTTATAAAACTTTATTTATTTGAGAAATAAAATCGTTAATTTTCTATAAGATTTTCGCGATGTGTTAATAATTTAAGAGTATTGCTACAAAATGAGAATGTTACCAGCTTGTATCCAGAGAATGCAGGTCTGTAATCACCTCCCCAAATGCTGCAATTCCACAGTAATGTAAGTGATAGTTAAAAACTCAACCTCACCGTATATGACTATTTGTATACCAATACAGCGAAACATAATGTAATTATACTCGTATATCAAAACTCCTCGAGCGGAACCTTGTTTTATTTGGGTTGAAATGTAAAAAATATCATGTTTTGTCATATTTCTCTAGAGGGAAAAGAGATCCAACAAAAGTTCCTAAAGGCCGTCTGTCACGATACGAAATTTTGTGCTAAATTTAGTACTAAATTTTGTACAAAATTTAGCACGAAATTTAGTTCCCAATTTGTTTACAAATTACAATCCTGTCTGACACGTAACGAAATTTTGTTCGGTAAGACTATACTTCAGCGCATATCGCAAATACTTCATTTCTTACTTTAAAATGAAAGATTAGGATGTAACTTGCACGAAAATATCATTTTTTCTTTAAGGAACCCTCCGCTTGCTATTTTATAGATCTTCAAAGTTGCATTTTTGATGGTAATTCTATAGAATGGAATACTGTTTTATACGCCTTTTTTTATTTTTGCACAAAATGATGCTCTAAATTATAAGGATATAACAAACACTGTATAGTACTAAGAAAAATAGATGTGAAACTGTAAAAAATCGTTGTTGTTTGTAAAAAAGGTTCAAAACCAGCCGTGTCATTACACATTAGCTAATTAGCTAAAATAACAGTTCAAAATACATGGTACAAATGATGGTATTTACTTGGTAAACTGTATAGAGGTGTTGTGTTGTGATTTTTCAAAGTCTTCTTGAAAATCCTTTACCGTTTTTTTCGCGTATTTTTAATGAGATCAAAGTTTTTGCGTTTATAAGAAATATTTGCAAGTACAAACAATTCTGAATGGCCATTTTATAACGTTTATTTCTTGACAGATAAGATAAATGATGGATCATTGTTGCAAAGTTGTACCTTTTTTGGGAGAAATACTTGATAAAAAATGAGGTTATTTGCAAAATAAAAGTCTTAATTTATTGTAAATGGCTTGTTTTATGAGAAGTTGACCCAATATTTACCGAAAACTAGATGAATTTTTGAACAGTATGTGTCTAAACAGTGGAATTTGCACCAGCGGCTCGCGTGACATAGAAAATACAAAAGGCAACAGACGTCATTGCATCAATGGCGGTTCCACTGTAGGAGCACATGAGCACGTATACCCCCAAAATAAATAATAAAAAATATATCATATCCATTTAATAATTTCTCAAATAAAGTCCGAGCCTCCCTGATATTTAATCGTATAACATGAAACCGATCTAGTGGCGAGTGACCACTCTTACCGCTGCTCTGCCTGATTCGGGCGATTTGGACTGGCCCGGTCCGACTGCCGCCGACGAGTGACGGCGGATGACGACGAATAGTCGCATATGCGATCATGTACGCGGGATTAGTGTGTTTTTCTCCCTACTGTTCTGGTTGCGGAGTATAGCGGGGTTATCACAATTTTAGTTGGAGAAGGCGCACACTTCTGGAGTGCGCCATTGTCCGTTGCGCGTGCATTTTATGCAGTAATTGGAGGTGTGGTCGAATTTTTATGTTCGTGGCAGTATTTTAACACGTTAATCGCCCAAATGAAGCAAAAAATATTCTACCCCCAGGCCAAACATAATTTTTTTAGGAAATACTTAATTTTTACTCTGGATATGATGTGCTGGCTGTTATCAGACGTTAGTCTTAGAAAATGTCCCAAAAATATATTTTGAAAATGACTCCCGACTTATGGGTTTCAGATCCCCCGATCACTGAGCGCCGCGAAACCCAAATGTCGGGTGTCATTTTTTCAAGTTCTAACAAGTCTCTGTATGCTAGAAATACAGATGCTTCGTGTAGTTTCCAGTCCAATTGTTGAGAGCGCGCCGAATAGTAAGGCTTGGTTGTGAATAAAATAATTTGAGTTGTGATTTGTGCTATAAAATAAAATGACGGGCACATATGAAAAGGAGCAAATGAGACTTATGAAATTGTGGAATGAGCTGCTATCAGACGAAGAGGAACAAGGACCTTCAGACCTCATGGACAATTCTTCAGACGATTACTTGCCCAGTCATTCATCATCAGATGTTGACTCCGACACAAGCTCATTGCAATTGAAACCCAAGAAGAAGAAAGCTAAAAGGTAAATTATTATAATTATTTTGTGACCAACTAAATTTTGCTTTATTGTTCAAAAGTGTGGTTTCTCCTTCATAATGCTCCCAACTAAGACTTAGCAATTTCTAGATTATCTATCCAATCGAAGAAATCTAATGATAGTCTTCATATGAACAACCCAGTACTCACATTATCCACCAGTGACTTTGCAACAGCTGTAAATTCCTCGAGGTCCAATATAATTCATCCTAGTACAGATAGTGAAACTGACGATTCTTGGCAGGAAATAAATCCTAGAAAAAAGACTAAAAGGTAAATATAACCTTATTGTGGACAAGAAAATGTGCTGACTTTTCGTCCTGTGCTTAGTGCATCAGTCAATTATTATATATTTTGAAAAATATACTCATACATACATAATCTTTTCTTTCAGATCAAACAATGTTGAAATGCCTACGGTTATCCTAGGGAGCAATCATCGCGATCCGCAACCTTCTACTTCTAGAGATGCAAACATCATACCAAAAGAACAACGTCAGTCCACTATTGATGAAGTCATCGATGAAGTTATAGCTCAGTTTTGTCTTATAGATAGTGAAAATGAAAGCGATGAAGATCCTCTGCATGAAGAACTACACTGGATTCCTTCGACCGGCTCTCATTTAAAAAAGTTCATTTTTGATTTAGATCATGTCGGTGTTACTACACAGATATCTGAGGACTTTATTACCAAGGCACCGTATGATTTTTTCAAGATATTTCTCAGTGACGAACTTCTGGATTTGATTGTACTAGAGACCAATAGATATGCTAGACAATGCAAAAACAAACCTTTGGCAGTAAACTCGCGCTTACACAGGTGGAGAGATACAAACAGGGTTGAAATTACGACATTTTTTGGAATTGTAATGTATATGGGTCTAGCAAGGTTGCCGAAAATGACGGATTACTGGTCCAAGAATCCCTTATATAGCAATAAGGTGTCGTGTAAAATGTCCAGAAATCGATTTGAATTACTCCTCAGAGTGCTACATTTCAACGATAACGAAATTATTGATAAAAATGACCGACTGGGAAAACTAAGCCCACTATTAGAAAACTTGACCAATAAATTCAAAGAAGTTTACGTTCCGGAGAAATCTGTCTGCATAGATGAAACACTAGTACCATTCAGAGGCAGGCTGTCATTCAGGCAGTATATCAAAAATAAGCGGTTCAAATTCGGGATAAAACTGTACAAATTATGTTGTAAGGATGGCTATACATACGATATCAAAGTATACTGCGGAAGAGATAAAAATTCAGAGAAACCTGCTACAGTTTCGACTGTTTTGTCACTAATGGAGCCACTTTTAGTACCACGGACGGATCTTATACACCGACAACTACTACACTAGTGTCGCCTTGGCCCATTAGTTACAAAAGCGTAGGACTCATCTTGTGGGTACCCTAAGAAAAAATAGAAAAACCAACCCAAAAAATGTGGAGGCTCAAAAATTGAATAAAGGAGAAATTTGCGCAATGGAAAGTAATACAGGGGTGGTTGTTTTGAAATGGCACGATAAACGTGATATTCTTTGTCTGAGCACTGTACATACTGAGACAACCACTAAATATACACGGAGAGGAACAGAAATAGAAAAACCATCTCTTGTTGTTGACTACAACTCGTGTAAGTCTTTCATAGATCTATCAGATCAGCTGAAATCATATTGTTCGCCTTTACGTAAAGGCGTAAAGTGGTACAGGAAATTAGCCTTTGAAATATTACTTGGCTCAGCTGTAGTCAACGCCTTCATATTGTATAAATAAAACTGTGACGAAAGCGAAAATATCAATAACAGAATTCAGACAGAAAATTGCCCTTGGTATGTTGCAAATCGAAGAAGTGACTGTCAGGGAGGAGACAGAAAATGAAAACAGAAAGCATGTTTTGCAGGAAGTTGCTTCAAAAGACCGACGAAAATTTGTAGCATGTTATGCGAAAATAAGTATTGAAGAAGGCAGGAAAGCCGCTCAGAAGAAGGGACCTAAGTCAAAAAATTTTTGCGATATATGCAATAATTTCTACTGTTTGTCATGTTGTTTTGATGATCATAATTATTCTTTATAACTAGTTGCAATCATTTGCTATGTTTTTTGATATTGCAATTATTATTTATAACTAGTAGCCACTGTTTGTATTACATCGCTAAAATAAAAAAGTGTTTTTATAACTGCATGCATTATTAGAAGAAATCTTCACCGATAAAGAAAATATCGTGGAAGTGCCGGGCTCATTCAGCAATATTACCCGCCAGGCCCCTCTATAACAGTTAATGCGTTTTGAAGCACGGCAGTTGGGTTACAGGCTTTAATGTACACGATAGTAATGAAGGTCGACATACAGTTGTCGGAGCCCAATCGACCATTGAGTTTGGAGCAAAAAATTGAAATAAAAAATGCAGGAAGACCTACACCAGAAATTAACTTAACTCAGACCACAAAGGGTAAATTTAGAGACTTTATTAGAAAGTTTAAAATGGAAATATATGAAAAGAATAACTGGATTTGTGGATGCAGCACAACAAACCGTTTGTTTTGTTTTTCCTGTTTGTTGTTTGGTCGCGGGGTTGCAGAGCCTGTCTGGACAAAAAATGGAATAGCCGACATTTAGCACAAACAATTAAGAAACATGAAAACTCTCAAGTCCATATCAATGCGCAACTGGAAATGCAGCTTTTGGGAAAAGTAGATATACGGCATCAGTTGGACAGTGCATATAGGCGCAGTATCCAACAGCAAAATGAACAAGTTAGAAAGAATAGGTATGTGCTTTCAAAAATTATTGATTGCACAAAATTTTGCGGAGCTTTTGAATTAGCCCTCCGCGGTCACGACGAAAAAGATGGTTCATCCAATCCTGGTATTTTTAGAGGTTTAATAAATTTCACTGCCGAATTAGATATAGCACTTAAAGATCATTTTGGAAAATGTACAGTATTCAAAGGTGTATCAAAAATCATTCAGAACGAATTGTTAGATTGCATGTTAAAAGTGGCTCAGGAAAATATAAGAAAAGAAATTTTGGAAGCTGAATTTGTTGCTGTTATCGCTGACGAAACAACGGATGTAGCTAATTGTTATCAAATGACTACAGTATTTAGGTACATTCTACCAGATGGAAGGCCAGTTGAACGTTTTTGGACTTTTGTTACCCCGCCCCCCTGACCACGATGCAGTTAGTCTCTCAGAATGTGTGAAAACTAATTTAATACAAGTGCTAGATAAACCAGAGAAACTGATAGCTCAAAGTTATGACGGCGCTAGTGTAATGAGTGGACGTCATGGAGGTGTTCAAGCTCTTATTCAACGTCATTATATTTATGCTTATTTCGTTCATTGTTATGCCTACCAGCTAAATTTGATTTTATCCCAAGCTACAAGCCAAAATCAAGAAGTATCGGTATTTTTTTCAAATTTAAACGATATTTTGGATGAAATTGTTGGTGCAAGAGTTCCTAGGTCTTCTGGTACAAGATGGAATTTTAAAAGCAGATCTATAATAATACAGTATATGAATATCGCTAATTGTTAATAGGAAGCATGGAAAAAGTAGAAGCTACTTCAAAACAAACTGTTACCATCAATGAAGCCACTGGTATTGGCCGTATGCTACAAGATTCTAAGTTTGTGTTCTGGCTAACTGTATTCAAACTGCCTCCAAAAAGAGAGAGACTGCTGGGAAACAATTGAAACTTAAATTTTTGAAGATACCACTACTACTCAAACTAAAAAGCGTCGTGCAAATGAAGACCAGCATATTTGCAGAACTATAGCAGCCAAGGAAGTTTGTGATGCCATAATTACACACGTAACAGATAGATTTTCTTTTACAAAACATTTAAATGCAGCTATTCTTTTTTCTTCTGATAAATTTTCACAATTTGAAAAGCATTTTCCATTGCAATATTAGGGCACGAGGTGGATTTAGTACAGTAAAACCTGCCGGCCACACCTCCAAATCGCATTTTCATGAAAATCCTGTGCCGATTGCACATTTTTGCGCTAGTATGAATTTGACAAACCAAATTAGGGTATATAACTATCCATGATTTGGCAACATCGCAAGTAGATGGAGAGAGTGGGATAGTGATGGTAATGGATGGTGGTGTAGTGATGGGAATATTTATCTGAAATAAAAGAAATTACTACTTAACAATGAACTATTTTCATCATTAAAATAATGCAAAATTGCATTATTGCGATGAACAGTGTCACAATAATTTACATTGTATGTTATATTCATATAATTTTGAGTAATCTTTTGTGTAAACAAGCAAAAAACAGCTTATAAAGCAGTATTCTATACCACAGTATTACCACACAAAATGCAACTTTGAACTTCTATAAAATAGCAAGCAGAGGGCTCCTTAAAGAAACAAAATGATATTTTCGTGCAAGTTGCATCCTAATCTTTCATTTTAAAATAAGAAATTTAGTATTTGCGATATGCGCTAAAGTATAGTTCAGCCTTTTGTACTAAATTTCGTACGAAATCATGCACAGTCGGTAGAAAAAAACCATAACTGTTGACTTCGAACTGTCATTTATCACGTTAAAGTCACACTAACCACACTTTCCGTTGCGGCTTGTTTATTACTTTAACCCTTAACTACGGACGTCTATTTTTATTCCACAACTACGGACACGGAGTCTGACAGACTCATAGTAAAAATAATAAATATAAAGCGTTTTTTGAAAATTGTGTCAGTAAATAATGATAGTTCAATGTATTGTTTAATAGTTTATTACGAAAAAAATTTGAAGGCATCACAAAAAAATAGAAATACTGAAAATAAAAAAAATTAACCACTACATACGTTTAAATATATTGCACTTACAGCACCTATCAAAAAAATGTTTTTTCTACAAAACTGAAATTATAATACTTATACAAAATCAAAATAACTAAAAGAGAATTCCAAAGTTAAAAAGTAGAAAAACCTGCAAGGCACATTTTGTACCCTATTTTTATGTTTATTCTTGTTTGTGGACACAATGTATGCAACATTTTTTCGAACACTGCAGACAAATAGAGCGTTTACATTTTATACAAGTGAGTGCAGTCTTCCTTCTCAATTTCGAAGGACATATATTTTATTTACAAATTTGAAGTCGTTCTTCATCTACTTCCTGTGCCTCGTTAGGTATTTGCAAAATATGGCAAATCAAAAATTTTATTTCTTTATTTATCTGCGGTTTTTGTAGTCGTTCTCGTAAATGAATTTCTATCAACTGACCTGCTACCTTTTTGACAAAATCAAAACGGTTTGCGTCATTTCCTGGAAATGATGAGTACAATATATAGGAGTTTGCACTACAAATGTCCAACAGTTTATAAAATATTGCCATGGGCCACGTCCTAGTGCGTCGGCTGCAGCTATATTTTGCACATTTTTCATCCATAGCGTCTACTCCACCCTTTGTACTGTTGTAAAAAAACTTAGTATTTCTGGTTTTCCAGTTTCTGGATCAGTAGATTTGAAATGATGCATTGACGATAAAAGTATAACGGCTTTGTTTTTTTTTGGTTGCAGAGGAAACAATGGTCATATTTTTTTGGAACCCATGTACTGTATCACCTTCTTTACGGTCTTTTCTTGGTTGCAATTCAGGGGGAATTTCCCTCTTATTTTTCTTCATTGTGCCTACAAATGTAAGTCCATTTGTAAGCAAAAATTCAGCTAGTTCCAATGACGAAAACCAGTTGTCTGCCGTTATATTTCTATTTGAATGATATAAGGGCCTTGCGAGTCTTACAATTGATTGGGTAGGCTTACTTATACGTATATACATTTTGAATTTACATTTTCCTCGAAACACTACTAACATTTCATCCACGCAAAGCTGTTGCTCCAATTATATAGGATTTTTTGGAATTATCAATAAACGTGTTGAATAGCTCACTAATTGCTGCTGCTGGGTCGTCCTTCTTCCTTTCTTCTCGGGTTTCTGCATCATCAAACCGCAGAGCAACTAATAATACCGAAAAACGTCCTGTACCATCTGTAGCGAAAATACGTCGGATATCTTCATCATTTGATTTGAAAATAGCTGTATATAGTAGTAATCCTACAAAAGCATTTAGTTCATTAACAGTAAGTTCTGCAAGTTCTGGCCTGTTCTCTCGTTTGTAATTTTGTCGCATATTATCCAACTTTTTATTTGTATACGTTATGATAAGGTCATACATTTCTGCAGAAAATAACTTGTTGAAAAGTGATTTTTGGATCAGTTTTGTCTTGTACATCCAAACGCAATAATGGCAAACGTAAAATATTATGAGCTTGGGTACGAATTTTTCGCACAGGTTCTGTTGTACTCCATTTGCGTAGATATATTTTTGTTTTGTTTTCAAGTTTTTTTGGTCAGCATCACTAGTTTCAAATTCGCTATCACTCGCATCACTGTTGCTGGAAACGCCCATATTATCATTTTCATCGTCGCGGTATAAAGAGCCCTGTTCATTATCACTCGCTTCTTGTTCGCTTGCAGAGTCATGGTCACTTTCTATACATATGCTTTCGTCTGTTTCTGTGTCACTATCCTGAGAATCTATTTCATTGTACCATAGCATTACTTGTTTTTCGAAATTTTTATCAAGAACATGTATCTGTTTCGATATACCAGGCGTAGGAGTTGCCATAGCTGTTACAAATTTTATGACGTAACCACGGACACTGAGTCTGACAGACTCCGAATCACGAAAAACCCGGTTAAATGAAAATTTTACGATATTGCCACTTTGAGACGTTGAAGAGCACTGAAAATGCGGAAGGTACATGAAGCAACTGTAGCGAACAAAGATTGTGGTTGGTGTAATAATGTAAAATGTATAGCGCGGAGTCCGACAGACTCATTGTCCGTGGTTAAGGGTTAAACGAATAGAAAATTGAGGAAAATGGAACAATCCAGTAATTCGCATCTATTATATGCGACTACGGCAGCAGTGATCTGCATTGTAGCTGCCCACTTCATGAAAAGAGGAAGTAAACGAAACCGTAAAAGAATTGGTGTCGAAAATGGATCAATGAGAGGGACCGAGGCATGGGTGTGCTCAATAAAGAACTTATAGTGGAGGATCCATTGGCTTGCAGGAACTTTTTAAGAATTTAATGAACAATTCGTGTATATTTTGTCTTTAATTGAAAACAGAATATCAAGACGAAACAGGTATGTATGTATGTATGTATTCTAGTTGATCTATTCAATGTAACTTATGAGTACTTAGTTTTATTCAGCTAGAATTGGGATACTAGAGAACAGTCCAGATAACACAAGTACCATCTGATTCCAGGTTAGAAGTAACACTGCGATTCCTTGCACCTGGTGAATCATACAGGTCATTATTGTACTCTACTCGAATACATGAAACAACTATCTCTAGAATTGTGAACGAAGTATGTGAAGCTATCATAGACACTTTAAAGCATACTTACCAAAAAGTAAGTAAATCCATAGCTTGAATGAAACTTATTATATTGAAGTCTCAGGTTTTTGTAACCTCTTCCTCGCTTTCTCTGTTTATCCTTCATTGTATTTGAGCACAATACCGCAGAAAATGTAATTAACACGTTTTTCAGAGTTGACAGAAAATAGAATTTAGCCAGATTGGTCAAAGAATAGTGTGCAAAATTTAAGGACACCCACATCCAAGACTAGCACTGTAGGTAAGGCTTCCCTGGAAAGAAAAGTAGTAGCCTAATCAATACAACAAAGTCATTGTGGGCATAATCTTTAGTATTATTTCCATGAAGGGGATGGGAAAACATAATAAGTGCCTAAACTCTATTTTCCAGAAGGTCGAAACACTAAAAGGAAGGTCCTATCATTCATAAGCCTAATCTGGAATCTGAAAAGATAAGATTCGCTGAAGGGTAGCATAAAAGAAATATTGGATTAATGCAACAAAAGTGTGATGGGGAATATGAACTTCTCAGGAAAGAATCGGACACAAATTAAAAAAATAGAACGGGAGGCAGAAGTAACAATTGATGAAATCGGAGTCCAATAAATTAAAATTCTATTACTAGAAAAACATGTTCTGCTAAAAAAAATAAAAAACACAAACTTTTCGATATTTATGGATGATATTTTTGAACCAATAAGTTCTTCATGACACTTCACTTTGCTTAAGTTATGGTAGAGTATCAGATGTATATGGTTGATTTAATAAAACAAGGATTTATTTTTATATAGCTTTTTATGTTATGGTTTTTATGTCCAATCCTTATTTTAGTTATAAAATTACAAATGTTAAAATATTTGCCTAACTTTAAATAATTCAAGTTTTGTAAGTCAAGAGTGACAAAAACATACTAAACAGTAATTTTAAGCAAGAATGAGAGACTTCCCTGTTAACATGTTATTTATTTATAATTTTTTTCAGTTTAAATCTCATCAAAATAATGTATTGATTGATGTCTTACTATATTATGCATATTTTAATTGTTCATGTGAAGCTGAGTATTTACATTGCCAATTAAGTTTATTGCTGCTTCTTCCTCATCATTATTAGTCCACCTCGTTCAAGAGTTTAGCAATGATAACCAACACTGTCATAGCAATTACAATGGCTTCAACGCTCTCCACCTTTAACCTTATTCCAAATGCCAGTATAGGAAACCTTTTCCATTTCTCTCAATACAATTTATATTTCTGATTTGTAACTCATTGTGTTATCAAATAATTTTTAATTGGATACTTACTGTCACCAACAATAACATATTAAGTGAAGTCTCCTTGTTCAAACTTAGCTCTGACTTTTGGATTTGCGAATATGTGTGAACCATGACTTGAGCTTGGCCAATGTCATACCATATCCTGAAACATGCAGTTTCAGTCCCATATTGCTCGAATATTAAAAGAGAAGAAGCCTTTTCTGTTTCTAAAGATTTCTGCATTGTTTCCACCAGTCAATATCATTTTTATATATGTGCAGTCGAGAGCTGCAATACATTTGAGAGATCGTGCTATAATGATAAAATTTTGAGAAGTTCTTTTAAATTCAGCTTCTGTATCAGAGATTTTAATTAACTGATAATTAAGTCCTGTCCTGCAATAGCTTTGGTCATCTTCCAAACGATTCGACTTGCTGTCCTTTTATCAATGCCAACAAAGTCTCCAAGAGTTTGGAGAAAGTTTCCTGTTGCATAATTTAATTAATATTTAAAGAAGTATACTCGCCAATTTGTTGGAGACATTATTTGTGCTTCGACCTGGATTATAACAAATCGAACACCTTGTTTGGAAAGTCGAAACCTTTGAATGAATTTGCCATCATTCCACACTACAAAGAGATCAATTCTATATTTGTATTTCTTCTGTTGTCTTCTAGCATTTATTATTTCTACTGCTTCAACAAAGTCTTCATCATCTATTAGTTCTGGGAGATTTTCTCGAATTTGTAGCTGCTATCTGATAATTAACATAGGGCGTGAATTATATTTTTAGCTCGTTGGTTCATTTGTTTTCGTTTACGTTTTCATGTTAAAGCTTGCTGTACTTCTGTTCTATGTAGGTTCGCTAATTGTCTCCTCACATAATAGAGGGATACACCTGCTAATCCACGAAGTTCCAATTGCTTGGAATGAGGTGCCACAATCGGACACCGATTATCTCATTTTGTCGTTGCCTAGACGTATACAGGAGTGTATTCAGCTGCGGGGTCGCCAAACACATTATTAATCTTTTTTCTTATTGTCAATAAAATTTCGTGAGAATGTTATCGTTTCATTCTTGATGTAAGACTACCTCATTACCAAAAAATCAAGTTTTCAGTGTCAAGTATAGCGGTGTCAACATAGAGTAGACCAAGAGGCGGCGTAGTGTAATGGGAAGGGGTAACGATTGCAGAACCGGAGGACGTAGGTTCGAATCCAAAAAGTTCCTTTTTTATATTACTATGAAATGACCATCTACGCTCCACAGTAACTTGATAAATACAAAAACTGTGGTTTAGCTTACTTAATTTTATAAGAATCCTCAGCGGTTCCAAGAGGTAGCTATCGAAAACTTGAGCGTATTATCACAAACAAAATTTCGGATGTCTTTTATTATATACATATATATCAACAAGTAGGAAAATAATGGGCAAAATCCGCAAAAAGGAGGAAGGGCAAATACAAATACCTCGAAAACTATTAGCTTTAGACACTTCTAACAAGTAAACCTTTTGTGTTGTGGAAATACGAGAAAATAAAATTTTTCGGTCAGTTGTAGTATACAGGGTAGCACAAAAAAGTTATGATAAGTTATTTACCGAAATGAGTGGCGCTCTCTAGAAGTTTGGCCATAAAAAATAACTGAGTCTTGTTTCTCATACTAGAAAACCTCCCTATACCGAGTGTTATGCCAAAATCTGAAACACTTCTCAAGCAATAAGGAAAAATAGAAAATAAAATTGTAACTTTGACACCTTGTTTCTCGCAAACTATCAACTTTTGGATTAAGGTATGTTTATTTCAATTCACATATTTTGGTCTGTAGTATCTCCACTTTCGAGATTTCCCAACCTTTCGCAGACACCCTGTATGCAGGGTGTAACGTTAGTAGTGGATCAACGGAAGTCAGGTGATAGAGGGCCTCAAAACCTATCGAATGAACCCCTATATGTGAGGTCCGAAATTTTATAGTTCAGGAGATATCACCTTACCATGTGCGTACATCCAGAACTGGCCGATAAGACCGCTCCTTTGTCCTGAGGGTGTCGGGATCGTGTATCAATCTACATTAGGAGCTTTTCTAAGTTCTACTAACTAGGCAGTTCAAAAATAGAAATAACAAAGTTTCTTCAAGCTCCTTAAAGCAGCCGCGGTGCCCTGGCATGTAGGCTTCACCTGCGCGGCAGCTACGGTGTAAAAAAACAGCGATATACCAAGAAAATGAAGACCTTAAAGATCTACTGGAGGAGAGAATGGAACCCAAAAACCTGAATTTTGTGGGGAACACAGTGCCACAACAGCAACAAGTTTTTGTAGCATTTTCGGGTGAGCAATTGGCAGAAGAAATATTTTGTTTATTGACCCGGTAATGGCAAAATGAAGATTATGAATACAGTATGAAAAATCCTAACTTTCAAGAACCATAATACGATTTTTGTAATCACTAATCTTTAGAAAAATTTTTTTACGGCGATTCAAATTCGGCACTCACCATTGGGATCTTGGAAACTGAGAGGGATACGAAGTCGCTTAACACGTTGAGCACGGTGTGGCATTAAAGTAATGCCTCACCGACTAGGTAATCTAGGGACGGTGAGACATGACAATAACGTCTCATGTTAAATATTGAATAAGACGGTGTGGTTCGGTGAAGTGTCTCTCTATAATGCCAAATGAATGGGAAACGATAGTTAGAAGTCTATACGAACGTTTTCTGTTATCCGGCTGTGGATATTTGACTAAAATACTATGTTATAGATAGCATACAATTTTATTTCAATTTAGAAAATATAGTTACAGCTAAGAAGTGCAAATCAACTTATATAATGTGGTTTAGAAATAATATAATGGTATTTAAAATGTTAGTCCAATTTCTCAGCATGATGGGTTTCAAAAAAACGGGATACAATAGCTCTTGTTACAAGGAGTGCACTGAAATTTAGTCGTCGGTATTTTGCTTTGCGCTTCTTTTCGACCAAATTCCTCCTTAGCTTTGGCATAACATTTCACACATCTATTTTTCGCATGCTCTTGAAGCTCGTGTTTTGTATTTCTTTGATTTGGTTCATTAGGTTTGTTATTTACACCTAGAAGTGATAATGCTAAAAGCTCAATGAATTCCGTAATTTGAATTTTATTTTGTGTTACTTCTTTATAACAAATAAATGCATTGACCAATGTAGAACCAAAAATTAATTCAATTGCTAGTTTCCGGTACCATTTGTTGCCCCTTCTAAGGCAATGTGAATAAGTTTTTAGCTGATCTGACAAGTCAATATAAGCTTTCGATTTACTGTAATCAACTGTAGCTTGCCGTTTTTCAATTTCTTTTCCACGCTGATGAACTTTGATTATTTCATCAGTGTGTACTGTGGTCAATAGTAACACATCACGAATATCTTTCCATTTGAGCATTACAATGCCGGTACCGCTCTCCTGACCTATTACTTCATGTTTTTTCAATTTTTTATTCAATACTTCTTTTGGGTTTCCTTTTCTATTGGACCTCACTGTTCCTACGAGATGCGTTTTTCTTGGTAACAATTGGGTAGCCAATGAAACACTGGTATAATAATTGTCACTATAAAGTATCCGTCCAGGGTCTAAAAGCTCACTCATCAAAGACATAACAACGTTAGATGATGCATTTTCCTTTTTTATATTACTACGAAATGACCATCTACGCTCCACAGTAACTTGATAAATACAAAAACTGTGGTTTAGCTTACTTAATTTTATAAGAATCCTCAGCGGTTCCAAGAGGTAGCTATCGAAAACTTGAGCGTATTATCACAAACAAAATTTCGGATGTCTTTTATTATACATATATACTATATATATCAACAAGTAGGAAAATAATGGGCAAAATCCGCAAAAAGGAGGAAGGGCAAATACAAATACCTCGAAAACTATTAGCTTTAGACACTTCTAACAAGTAAACCTTTTGTGTTGTGGAAATACGAGAAAATAAAATTTTTCGGTCAGTTGTAGTATACAGGGTAGCACAAAAAAGTTATGATAAGTTATTTACCGAAATGAGTGGCGCTCTCTAGAAGTTTGGCCATAAAAAATAACGGAGTCTTGTTTCTCATACTAGAAAACCTCCCTATACCGAGTGTTATGCCAAAATCTGAAACACTTCTCAAGCAATAAGGAAAAATAGAAAATAAAATTGTAACTTTGACACCTTGTTTCTCGCAAACTATCAACTTTTGGATTAAGGTATGTTTATTTCAATTCACATATTTTGGTCTGTAGTATCTCCACTTTCGAGATTTCCCAACCTTTCGCAGACACCCTGTATGCAGGGTGTAACGTTAGTAGTGGATCAACGGAAGTCAGGTGATAGAGGGCCTCAAAACCTATCGAATGAACCCCTATATGTGAGGTCCGAAATTTTATAGTTCAGGAGATATCACCTTACCATGTGCGTACATCCAGAACTGGCCGATAAGACCGCTCCTTTGTCCTGAGGGTGTCGGGATCGTGTATCAATCTACATTAGGAGCTTTTCTAAGTTCTACTAACTAGGCAGTTCAAAAATAGAAATAACAAAGTTTCTTCAAGCTCCTTAAAGCAGCCGCGGTGCTCTGGCATGTAGGCTTCACCTGCGCGGCAGCTACGGTGTAAAAAAACAGCGATATACCAAGAAAATGAAGACCTTAAAGATCTACTGGAGGAGAGAATGGAACCCAAAAACCTGAATTTTGTGGGGAACACAGTGCCACAATTCAACAGCAACAAGTTTTTGTAACATTTTCGGGTGAGCAATTGGCAGAAGAAATATTTTGTTTATTGACCCGGTAATGGCAAAATGAAGATTATGAATACAGTATGAAAAATCCTAACTTTCAAGAACCATAATACGATTTTTGTAATCACTAATCTTTAGAAAAATTTTTTTACGGCGATTCAAATTCGGCACTCACCATTGGGATCTTGGAAACTGAGAGGGATACGAAGTCGCTAAACACGTTGAGCACGGTGTGGCATTAAAGTAATGCCTCACCGACTAGGTAATCTAGGGACGGTGAGACATGACAATAACGTCTCATGTTAAATATTGAATAAGACGGTGTGGTTCGGTGAAGTGTCTCTCTATAATGCCAAATGAATGGGAAACGATAGTTAGAAGTCTATACGAACGTTTTCTGTTATCCGGCTGTGGATATTTGACTAAAATTGAAAGATCAAACGAACTTACCTAAGTGATGTTCGATCTCAATTATATGAAGCCTCGTCGAAGTAAATAAGTAACGTAGTACCTCTCGCCAACGGTCGATCCACACGCATTCCAAAGAAAATCGATAAGCTGTACCCCTCGCTCGTACAGTCTGCTGTCTAGCGCAGGTATCATTCATTTTAAAGCAAACTAATTGTTGCACATTGGGATTTTTCGGGGTAGGGTGGGACTTATTTACTTCGACGAGGCTTCATATAATTGAGATCGAACATCACTTAGGTAAGTTCGTTTGATCTTTCAATTATATTCCGCCTCGTCTCCGTAAATAAGTAACGTAGATGTTTAAAGACAAATGCAACAATTAGCCTGAAAGAGTTTATTGAACAAAACTCTCATACTGAATCTATAGAATACAACTTTGGACGCAATCCTAAAGAATATAATAATAACAACTGGAACTAATAATCTAAAACCGCTGCTGCGAAACTAGAGTTACTAACTAAAGGTCTATTATAGAATTTAGCAAACGTTTCGGACTTTTCTGTCCATCCTGCCGTTCGCTTGATGACATCCAAACTTACGCCCTTGCGAGCGGCAGCCGAAGTAGCCGCGTGTCTGGTACTATGTGCTGTAAATATGGATGTATCAAGCCCACTTAAGTTCAGAATAGTTTTTATCCATCTACTTATAGTATTAGCCGTGGCATTTTTAAACGGTTTTTTAAAAGTTATAAATAAATGATTACAAGAAGAGTTTCTTAAAGGACGTGTCATTTCTAAATATAAAACTAGACATCTGGCTACACAAACAGTATAATCCGCATTGAAATAAGGCAAAATCAACGTCGGTTGAACTCTATTTCGACCAGAAGTTTTTATCCGCTGGGAAATATTAATAGTTATAACATTATTATCCTTGTCATGAATAATATTATTAACTTCTATATTAGCTAAGGTTTGAACTCTTTGAGCTGTAGCAATCGCCAACAAAACTGCTAATTTAAGGGTTAGGTCTCGTAAAGATATATTATCGCTCGGTAATTTCTTAATGTATGTTAAAACTATTGAGGGGTCCCAAGTAGCAGTGTATTTAGGTTGGCTGGGTCTCAAGTTAAAGACGCCCTTGAAGAATCTTTGTATTCTATAATCATTTGCCACGTCTATGTCAGATATCTGCGACACTGCTGATCTATAACTATTTAAAGTACCATAAGAGGCTCCTTCATAAAAATGAAATGTTAAGAATTCTAAAACAGCATCTACAGAAACCGAAAATACATTACTATTTTTCTTTTTACAAAAAATCCACCAAAGTCTTAATCCAGAATTGTATTGCTTGACGGTAGAAGTGGTGGCTGGGTACGTTGCCTAATCGGAGCGCCTCCCAGATAAGATTGCGGCCACCAGGGTAAGGTTGGTCCATAAAGGATGAGGCGTTCTATCAAAAGAAAGAAGTAGATTTCGATTAGGTGGCAAATAAATAGGTTTGCTAATCATCAATGATTTAAAAAGTGGGTACCATGGTTGTGCAGTCCAGAAGGGAACTATAACAATCCCTTCTGCTTCATCTTCAAGAATTTTTTGAAGGCACCGTAAAACGAGACAGAAGGGTGGAAAGGCGTAGAAATGGAAACTTCTCCAACAAAGCGTGAAGGCATCAGTTGCAAAACTGTCCGGATCAGCAAACCAAGAAACAAAACGCTTACACTTTGTATTAATTCGAGAAGCGAACAAATCAATGTCAGGCTTCTTGAGATTATGAACAACCTGCTTGAACGCCCTATCGTTGAGCTCCCATTCTGTCTCTGTATATAATTGTCTAGATTCCCTATCTGCCATTATATTGTGCTCAGATTGTATATATGAGGCATACAAAAAAATATTTCTGTATTCACACCACTGCCAAATTTTTCTAGCAAGGAGATTTAATTTTGGATGTTGGATGCTTCCCATACGATTGATATAAGCAATAGCGGTGGTATTATCTATGCGACACAGAATATTACAATTCGAAAGATTCTTTGCAAAACATTTAACACCAAAGAATGCTGCAAGCAGCTCAAGATAATTAATATGTTTATCTCTTTCTATACTATTCCAAAATCCGTGAGACGCCTTGTCCTGACAAAAAATACCCCAACCAGTGGTGGATGCATCAGAGAAGATCTTTAACTGAAAATTCTTTGCCGAAATGTAATTAAAGGAACTACTAATATTATCGATCCACCACCCAAAGTCTCCAGTTAAATAATCTGGAATAATCATATAAGAATTAAAATCACCATTAGATTTCTTGAGAGCTAAAAATTTTTCTCTCTCAAACATCTTCGTATAAAGCCAACCGTATTTTACGGCAGGGCAGGCTGAAGTTAATGTACCAATAAAACAAGCGAAATCTTTAATTTTACAACGTCTTAATTTGGAAAACTTATATGCCAATCTAGAAATTCTCTCCTTCTTAGTTTTAGGCAGAGAAACGGTCATATCAACCGAGTTGTAAACGAAACCCAAATACTTACATATCTGCTTGGGAAGAAGTTTACTCTTAGTATAATTTATTAAAAAGCCTAAATTTTCCAACAACTCAATTGTTTGCCTTACATTTTGAGTGCAATCCAAAGCTGTCTGGCCCAGCAAAAGGAAATCATCTAAGTACAAAACGGAGAGGAAACCTCTTTCCCTTAAATAATTCACCACGGGTTTCATTAATTTGGTGAAAATATATGGAGCACAATTGAGCCCAAATGGCATACAGGTATATTCAAAAATTGAGCCTTTAAACTTAAATCGAAGATATTTCCTGTATGACTTGGCTATAGGGACTAACAGGTAAGCATCCTTCAGATCCAGTGAAGACATGAAGTTACCACGCCTAATTATCTTACTGACTATTTTATGCTCTTCTAATTTAAAATGACTAACTGAAATGTAATCATTTAACGATTTGAGGTTGAGAATAAGTCTTTGACTACCGTCAGGTTTAGGAGTTGCAAAAATATTAGATAAAAACTGATCCTTAACAGGGCGCACTTTCTTCAAGGCCCCAGTGGACAAACATTTTTTAATATTATTTTCAATCTCACACAGTTCTGTCGGAGACCATTTAGGTTCCTTCGGTATGTGAGACTGACGAGGCTTCTTAAAGAATGGAATCCTAACTCCTTTAATCCATGACAAGACATGCTTGTCAGAAGTTATTTTGCACCAGTTTGCATAAAATAATTTTAATCTGCCAGCTGTTTCACCAACCTCAGTATTCATCGGCGATATCTCCCTCTCTGCCCTTGTTGGTCCAGCCGTACTGGCTTCCTTTCTTGAACTCTTCGGAACTGCTGTTTTCCTCCATAACTGGTCCGGTAATGCTGTTGAAACGGCCTCCCTCCCATGCGTAGACCTCGTTGCGATGATCGAGGGAGGCTCTGGGAGTTTAAAGCCCGAGCAGTGGAGCTGGATGGTTGTTTGTGGTCCCTCAATTGTTTACTTATTTGAACCAAAGACTTAGACTGCTTAACTTTATCTTCAAGGTCTCTTCCAAATAACCAGTCATCAACTGGGGAATCTAATAAAATATCTCTCAAATCCTTATTGATATTGAGGACGGCAAGCTCTCTACGTGAAACAGTTTCTTGGTGAAACAAATCTGCCAAAAGCCGACCAGCGTCCCCCAACTGCCTGATATAGGGTCTATCGCCCTCTTCCTCTTTTTCATTTAACATAGAGGATAAAACTGCTCCCAATGATGCAATCGTAGATCCAATTTGGGCCTGAAACGCTCGAAGTCGGGTATCTCTGCGTTTCACCGAGTCTGACACAGCTGCAGCCACTAACTCATTGAGCTTAGGGGGATTTACAAGGGGGCAGTTTTCCGGAGACGGATACTTACTCAACAAGTCTAGTCTTTCATCTTCGTCCAAGCCTTGTTGTAATATCCCAGTCCAAATTTCAGATAAATTGTGGTGTATAGGGGGAGCAGACATGGATTTCTTAACAACATTTTTCCCCAGGAGAAGTAGAACATCACCTTTCAAATCAGAGTTAGAAGTCTAGGCAGCACTCTCATCGTTCTCCATAACGCACTCTTGTTCAGGTGCATCGGTATCGCTATTTTCGCTGTGAGAAGAGGCGTCATCTTCGCGCCCACCAACGGTATCGGGAGACCTAGAAGAGCTAATTCTTCTAACACGCCGAAATCTCGGAGAATTGGCAACATCTTCGTGCCCATTATAATCATGCTTGTCGTGTACATATCGAGATTTATTTCGATCATGGACCGAAATGGCAACATCTTCGTGCCTAACACGCTTGTTCCTTTCCGTAGTCATAACAGAGTTACTTGCAGAAACGGAACGATTACGTTTACGTTCACTTCTAATCCTACTCCGGCTGAGACGCCTAGAACGACATTGTCTACTTGAACTAGCTGTAACAGTGGCAACATCTTCGTGCCCCAAACTCTTTTTTATACTCTCCATTTCACCACTCAACAGTTTGAGTCTTCTATTCAAGTCCATTCCGCTAACACTTGGCCGAATTCCCGAACGTTTAGCCATTCTGCGAAATCAAAACACCATATACGAAAACAAACTATCACCAGTGATGCGCGACGGATGCGTACGGCGCGACACGCTGAGAAAGAATGATACCTGCGCTAGACAGCAGACTGTACGAGCGAGGGGTACAGCTTATCGATATTCTTTGGAATGCGTGTGGATCGACCGTTGGCGAGAGGTACTACGTTACTTATTTACGGAGACGAGGCGGAATATAATACTATGTTATAGATAGCATACAATTTTATTTCAATTTAGAAAATATAGTTACAGCTAAGAAGTGCAAATCAACTTATATAATGTGGTTTAGAAATAATATAATGGTATTTAAAATGTTAGTCCAATTTCTCAGCATGATGGGTTTCAAAAAAACGGGATACAATAGCTCTTGTTACAAGGAGTGCACTGAAATTTAGTCGTCGGTATTTTGCTTTGCGCTTCTTTTCGACCAAATTCCTCCTTAGCTTTGGCATAACATTTCACACATCTATTTTTCGCATGCTCTTGAAGCTCGTGTTTTGTATTTCTTTGATTTGGTTCATTAGGTTTGTTATTTACACCTAGAAGTGATAATGCTAAAAGCTCAATGAATTCCGTAATTTGAATTTTATTTTGTGTTACTTCTTTATAACAAATAAATGCATTGACCAATGTAGAACCAAAAATTAATTCAATTGCTAGTTTCCGGTACCATTTGTTGCCCCTTCTAAGGCAATGTGAATAAGTTTTTAGCTGATCTGACAAGTCAATATAAGCTTTCGATTTACTGTAATCAACTGTAGCTTGCCGTTTTTCAATTTCTTTTCCACGCTGATGAACTTTGATTATTTCATCAGTGTGTACTGTGGTCAATAGTAACACATCACGAATATCTTTCCATTTGAGCATTACAATGCCGGTACCGCTCTCCTGACCTATTACTTCATGTTTTTTCAATTTTTTATTCAATACTTCTTTTGGGTTTCCTTTTCTATTGGACCTCACTGTTCCTACGAGATGCGTTTTTCTTGGTAACAATTGGGTAGCCAATGAAACACTGGTATAATAATTGTCACTGTAAAGTATCCGTCCAGTGTCTAAAAGCTCACTCATCAAAGACATAACAACGTTAGATGATGCATTGCCTCCACCTGTGTTATCAAGTCCACAGTATATTTTCAAATTAAATGTATATTCTCCGGCAGTACATAGCTTATACAATTTTATTCCAAATTTATTTTTCTTATTTTTTATATATTGCCTGAATCTAAGGCGACCACGGAATGGGACGAGGGTTTCATCAATGCATACATCAGACCCTGGTTTGATGATCATTTGAAATCTATCCAATAATTTGTTCACTAAAGGTGTCAGTTTTCGAAGTCGTTTGCATAACTTTCATCTTCGTTATTGTTGAAATGCCACATTTTCAATAATTGTTCATGGCCATGAGTTCTTTTACTTTGTTTATGTATAAAATGTTAGTGCTCCAATAAGCTTTTAGACGTGGAAGTTTCATAAGTCTCATCCACAATATAATTCCAAGAAAATTTTCCATTTCTTGGCTTGTAGTAGGAACCCATTTTTTCACATGTCCTTTGGCCGTCGGTTTTTCCTTCAGTACTTGCTCAGCATAGAGGTTTGTTTGATATACCATATATTCTATTATCTCATCAGTAATAAATAATTTGAAAAAATCATAGGGCTCCTTGTCATAATTTTCATAAAATTCAGGCTTTATTCCAATATCAGCTTCAGCAAAACCAAAATGTTTGAGTGATGAACCGTCAACAGGACCCCAGTGTATATTGTCACCAGAATCAGGAGTCTGCATTTCTTCATCTTCGCTTTCAATTGCATATTGAGAAATGACATCTTCTATTACATTTTGAATCTGAAACAAAATCGTTTAAATCCTCGAGAAATTTTTATTTTTTTCCTATGGATGTCAAAAAACCTGATCTAAAAAAACTGCCCATATGTAAATATTCCAAGTAATAAGAAAGTAAAGGCAATTTGTGAAAAATCTGCCGAAAAATCAATAAATAAAAAACTTTTTCAGCGGGAGTCGGAATTTGAGAATACTCTGTCATTTTTTTTTATAAAATCCCTCTCCCAACCAGGCAAAATATGACTTATTACCACTTGTTTACTAATTTGTTCAGGGAAGACGTGCATACTACTAAATAAAGATGTCTTTATGATTACCGTGTCTTCCGCATCCACGCTTATATTGTGCTGTGCAGTATATGGACCTGCTGCATTGTCTCCCAAGTCTTTGATAGAAGTTTTACGTCTCTTTGCACGCTAAACTAAAATATCGTTGTCACTGGATGTCTCTTCATCTGACTTAGGTTTATATTCATCTGATAAATATACGTCCCCAAATTCACTTATATTACTCTCATCATCGGACATACACTCTTCCCATAGCTTCTGTAATGCTTCTTGCTCACGTTCGTAACTACCCATTTTTATCTAATGCTTACCCTTCCACGTAAACAGAGCTAATAAATTATCATCACGCCGAATACGCTCAACACCAGTAACATAATCATACAAGATTAGACCTGCAAAACATGGCATCACGTATATGTCTCACCGTCCATACGCACTGGTTTGAAGGTAAAGACAGCGAGACATAACTGTGATGTCACGTGTAATATATTTTTTTAAATATCAAAGAAAGTCATATTTGCAAATAAAACAATATATATTACACATTAAAGACTTTCATCGAAAGAAACACAAAAAAAATCCCGTCCCTGAGACTCAATTTTTTGCACTCTACATCCGTACTCAACGTGTTAAATGGGGTAATCAACGAAATGACACTTGGAAAGTTTAATAATAGTAAAAGTATTTCCGGAGAGTGACGGAAAAAATGAATTTTCTCAAAATCGTTTTGATTTCTTTCTGACTTTATATTGGGATTTTAAACAAATTGCACATTAACATTGCCACGTTTTCTCCTCCACTAAAAGGTATAATCAGAATTTCTATATGACGGTTCCTCCAGCATCAAGTTTATTGTTTCTTAAGGACGCTATATTGCATTTTTGCACAGATGTACAAAGTTTTTAATTTTGATTCAAAAAATGCACAATACGTCATACATTGGCGTTGCCAAACCTTAATTACTGAAAAAAAAGAATTTCTTGGGTAGGCCTTGAAATTATCAGATATTTGTTTCGCTCACCAGATTTATCCCAAAATCACTTTATTTTTTCCAGACTTTATTTGAGGTGGGATTTCAAAATAAATTGCATATTATTATTGTTACTTATTCTCGTCTACAAGATGGCGTTGTTAAATTTTCAATTCGACATGTCTTCTTTCGACCTCGATCATCAACTTTGCTTCTTCATACGGACGCCATATTGGAGTTTTGTACATTTAAATGGACTTTTCAGCGCTAAATTCAGTGGTGTATTTCCTTAGTTGACCATAAATTTGTTGTTGGATGAAAATTATAAGGAAATAAAAAGATATGGTGAAACCTGAACGGAATGAAAATGTTATTGATGGTAATAACAATATTAACCTTAAATAAGCAGAGGTCTTCATAGTCTTCCAAACTCTGTTGCTATGCAAACAAATGAAATCTCATAATTTCAAGGCCTACCTAGGAACTTCTGGAATAACTAGGGTTTTGCAATGTCAATGTATGACATATATATATATATATATATATATATATATATATATATATATATATATATATATATATTTATATATATATATATATCCCAACTAACAATTATCACTTCTATTAGAGTTGCAAGAATGATTATACAGTATTCCTTAAACAGCATTGTATAGTATACTGAAAGAACATTGGCAAAACCCTCTTAGAACAGCTATATAAGCGGAATGGGCACACCTAATAGGACACGTCAGTCATTTAAGAGGTTAAATAAGGGCTGCAGGTAACAGTTATAAAACAAAAGTGTAAGCCTCTTGCAGCCGCTATAGGACATTTGCGTCAGTGCAAGATTCAGTTTTTGTCAACTATACAACTATTCTGTTACGTGATTCTATTTTATTGCAACCAAACTATTTCTTATGTATTGTATAGACGAAGTGAAGAATATATAACTAACACATTACAGTCATCTTGTTTACTTATATATCGGCCATTGTGAATTTCATACACAGATACACATATATATACAGGGTGACTTCGAAGTTGAGTCATTTATTTTAACAGTGAGTAGATCTGATCAAAAGAAATGTTTTTTTCCTTTAACATTTTTGTGGTAAAATTAAAGTAACAAAGTTATAGTCCTTTAGAAGTTTGAGTACCGCCCTGTCTCAATAATAATATTATGTGCTCGTGTTTGGCAACAACGGATACAATCCGCCTTATCGGTTCATCGCATCGGAAACAAAAAAGCGAAAGAATTTGAAACGCTGATCACGAAGTTTTAATTCAGTCAATGTGTCAGTCGGTAACGCGTGAGTGAATAGTGGTGTTTGCTGCGTGGCTCAAACGAAATAAAAAATGGCACATGTTTCTGCGGATCGGTTTCCCAATCGAGTGCAACCAAGCCCTCGTGCCTTTGTTAATGTAGTACAACGGGCTCGTGAATCAGGTGACTTAAGACCTCACAGGGGAGGGCATGCCGGTGCTCCAAGACCTCACGATCAAATACAGGTCCGCACTGAAATACTTGTCGGGAGGATACTTTATAAAACAAGGTAAATTTTTTTTTTATTTTTACACACATTTTGGTTTATCTTCCTTCTACAATCATTATCTGAAAATTAATGACTCAACTTCAAAGTCACCCTGTATATATATATATATATATATTTGAAATAGAATAAAAGTTCTATTCATGTATGTAAAAATCAAATATGGCGTCTATAAGAAAAAATTAAGTTGATGCTGGAGGACAAGAGATGAAACGTCATATTGAAATTCTGATTGTGCCGTCTTGTAGAAAATAAAATGTGGCAGATTTGTGAAATTTCTTTTTTTACGTCTTTCAATTTTAAAGCTTTTTAAGCGACATTTTGTTGATTATCCGAATACGCAACATTGCCTCTATTTAAGCGACTTCGTATTCCTTAAGGTTTCCGAGAACCCATTGGCGAGGGTCGAATTTGGAATACCCTGTATAAGGAAAATATTATTTTCGCCCCAGCTGGAATGGTCGACCACTCCCTCTCCGTGGGCACCCGTAAAAAAAGCTGTATCACAAATTCTCAAGAATTCGTTATTTTGTTTTTTTTTTCATCAGATTTGGGTTGGACTTGCATAGCTAGAATATATAAATACTGTTTGCACATACACTTCGAGGCTGGGCGACACGGGAACAAAAACACTACTATCCGAGTTTTATTAAAAGTTATTCACAAAACTTTGTACATTTTTCATGCATCACTGCAGACGTTTATTCAGAATTCTTACTATTTACTTCTCCAACTTGTCATTCGATGTGTGGAATCATACTTCTTCGAATTTAAGTTTATACTTTTTAAATGAGAATTGAATGGGAATTACTGAGTAAATCTACTTGACATTTTTGGGTGCTGTTATTTTTTCTAGAAAGTGTCTCATGTTTTCCTCTCTTCCTAGATAATTCTGGTTTACAGCAAGTGAACATACCCCAACTTTTCGAAAATTGTCTACTTTTTCTGAAAAATTTTACATTCGAATAATCATTTCAAGCCCTGATAATTTACTGGCAAATTATCTGCTGACTAATTTGACAGTCATCAAACAGTCAGAAGTTTCTGAACGAACAGCGAATTAAATGTCGGTAATCAGTCTTAGCTTCCTCAGCCAACTCGTAACTTTATCATGTACGCAATCTATACAGTCAGCGACGTGTCAGTGACAGCTAACTGAGTAAACTAGGTCATGACTTGTTGCCGACTATCAGTTTGCTGATTGTCAGCAAACAGGCTGTACGAACAATCCAAAAGATATTGCTCTGATTTCTGAAACCTGGTTTAAACCTGTGATATTCAAAGGATACTCTATTATCAGGAGTGACAGGCATGACGAAAAGACTGGCAGGCTTATTACCTAACTTCCAACCGACCGTCAACCGACTCGAGTTGGTCGATAGTTGCTGTCAAACGCAAATTTCGTATTATGTATCAGTCAGTGGGTCTCAATCGCCAACCGGCTACGGTGGCGCCTCTATGGAGCAACTGGTGAACGAAAAGTGCATTCTTTTGTTAGGAGTATCAAAAAATTGGTATTCCCTAACTCATTGACAGCGACCCAACAGCAACTTACCAGCGATTTGAACTGTCAAATTAACAACTGCTCTGTGGTAGTCGACTAGTCGGTCGCTAGTGTTTTGTTTGGATAACATTGTCAAAACTATTCATTTTTTTAACAAGAAAGGTAAGTATAACAAGTTCAAATAAGGAATAAAATAGCTGGACGAGTCTAAGAAGTGATTGTATGCTCCCAATTTGTATTTTCAGCAATTTTAATTCTCTGGATGGCTCGTGCATTTTTACTTATGGAAGCATTGGAAAGCGAAATAATGCACGATCAAAGACGGCAAACTTCTCGCCTACGACGTATTTTTCAGTATCTATGACTTGAAGTTCATAATGATTATCAAATAAGCTTACTTGCGCCTTCCTACCACAGTATAGAAACATATTGGTTTTAGGTATTAGCAGCACTTCTGGTGCTAGCCGCTGGTTCCTGCCAGAAACATATTGGCATGGGTTATTTACATGGGCTCAGTCAACCAAGTGTATCCAAAGCACTAAGGGAAATGGTGGATGCATTAAATCATCCAGACATTCTATCTAAGCATATTTACTTCCCTCAAACACTGTTAGAGATTATAGTAATTATATTGCCATGTATATTAAGCAAGTGAGATTGCATATCAAAATTAAATGGTGGATCATTAACTGAGAAACCAATGAGTTCAGCTACATCAAAAAGTTTCAACACATGGAAGGTTACATTACCTGATGAAAATTCCATCGCTGTGGAAGTTGAAATTTCTTATTAACAAAAGTAACAAGTCAATATTCATCGATCCTAAGATCAATACCTCAGACTCATTATCCGTAAGATTAACAATACAGCAACAAATCCTTGTTAATATTTCACATATTTTAGGCAACATATCGATTTCAGCACTAAATTTTACTTTGATTTTTTTACTTTAGTTGTAATTATTGTTATATGCCTGCTTGAAGATGAGTAATAATGAAAGATATATTTTTACAGGTGACTTTGGACATCCATTAAGAATCGGTCTTACCAGAAATACCATAGAGTGATGCACAGGAGTATTAAAGTTTATATTATCTACTGTATCGAACATTTTAAATTTCCATGAAATAATGTTCATTGTCATATGCTTATGCTTAATGATAGCTCTGCTTTAAATAGGTTTTATCAACCACTGTAAAGAAAAAGTTAATGGTTATAGAATTAGTTTTCTAGGAAGGTTTATTTTCATATGTCCATATTCAACAATATATATTTTAGAGGATTTGGAACAAGCCTATAAGTATGCTTTGAGTGAAGATCAAGAAAAGTTGCAAAATGCATTTGTAACAAAAAGCACTGCCTTTTTAAAATATAGTTATAAAACTGCTGACCTTCTTTTCGTAATAGATCCCACAACTTTTTTATCAATTTAAGCATTAATGGTACTAAATACAATCGTAAAAATTTCAAAAAATACTCTGTGTTCCACAGTCACTCAAACAGCCTAGAACTTCGCCGCTTGTGAAGATTAGTACAAATCGCTAAATGTATTTCTAATGGGGACCAATTCTCATTAGAAAATGTATCAAATGCATTTCTACAAATACAATTTTTTTAATTACACTCCTATTTTATTTTCGTCAATTTGTAAAGCAATTATTTTAAATACAATAAAAAAAATCTTATTGTCTTAAAAAAAACTTTTTACTGTATTAAAGAGTTATAAATGATTTATGGATTGGAGGTACCATTACAAAAAATAAGTCAGTGATTTTTATGAAATGATTTAAGAGAAGTAGTTTTAATACAAAAAAATTGGGCACTGTTACACAACTTTAGTGCACCCTGCATAGCTATTTGTAATTCTATATCCGGTGGTGGCGCAACAGCTGAAGATGGAGGAGTTGGTTCTGAAAATCAAAAAGCTTTTAATTAATAATCATCACTAGTGAAAAATTAAAATAAAAAATTAGTGTTTTTTTCATTTGAAGCAGAACTTTGTACTTGTGATCAAGTGTTAGAAGATGATGTGGAGTGCCAGAAAGTAAAATCAAATTAAATGTGGTTTAATTAAGTGGGCCATAGAGATCGAGGATACAAACTGATTTTTCATTAATTAAAATTAATCCCATTTAAATTTACCCAGGAGTTATGTACTTACACTAAATGGAATTTGAAGTTCAGTATCTCCAAATACTGCAGCTGTTCCCAATATGGCCATATCTAATTCAGATAAATTATCAACATTAGCACCCTCCACCAGTACCTGTAGCATCCTGCCTATGTTTAACGTCTATCCAATACTGTAAAAAAGTATTATTGTATTAGTACATGAATAAAACCATATGGAACATGGAACAAAATGCCTTATTCTAACCTACAGTACTAATCCAAGAAAATGACCCACAGAGTCTGTGTAAACTATGATGGCAAATATTAAAAGATGGTAGCAACTATTTGGAAAAATACAAACACATTGAATCAAACAAACTATTTTCTACCCGTAGAGTACAAAAGAGTTTCATATAAAGTCTCGTCTAATAAGAATTGAATTACTGAAAAAATGGATAAACGTCATCGTTTCTCAAGTTACTTAAATAAAAAAAAAGTTTTGGATAAAATATTGTGAAAAGGTTGGGAACAATTGTGCTATTACATTGTTAAAGATAATTTTCTATTAATCAACATTGCATTTTTTCTTCTATGAAAAGTTCTACAACTTTTTTGAATTTATCTAATGAAAAGAGGGATACAACAGAATAATGACCAAAGCAAAAAGTTGTAATCTTATAATGAAAAATAAGAATCAGCACAATTATAAAAATTATGAATTAGTGATGACAAAAGGATGAATAACAAAATGTAACATAAACTCACCCTTCTCCAGCATTGTCCATTCTTTGTAGCTCCAGATCCATGAGTATTCAGACATATCGCTAATTCGTCCCACTTTCTATTAATTGTCTCCTTTGATCTCCCTCCAAGCCCAACACTGTCCTTAGCTAAATTACGATGAATTTCTGCAAAGACAAGTACCTCATCCATTTGCAATGTTGAGATTATAACATGTGGCTGAAGAACCGATCGATCGAGCGCGATCGAAAACGTTATAAAGGCAGCAGTGCACAAAATTTGTCATTGCAACATACAACCACGTTTTTTGGCTTTAAATGTGCGTATATCAATGCGGTTTTCATGCAATATCGTTTATTGTGTTTTTATGTGTCATTGAAGTCTAGCCCCCCCTTCCCCAAAAACATCCCCAAAGATGTGAGTAACGCGAAAAAGTTATTATTTCGTGAAAATTATAATTAAAAAATGCGGTTTTTGCGTTAATCGCATAAGACAAACATACCTCAAGTGCCCTTCAGTGGACATGGCATTAACTCGTGGTTTGCCTCCAAAAAAATATATAGATATGAAAAATGTTAAATCAGATCGGAAACCCGTAATTGTTGAAAATCACTTTACGCCCAAAATTTTTTCGCGGATATCTGGTCAACTTAACGTGTAACGTAAAAATATATTTCAAAAAAATTGGCTTACGCCCAAAATTTTTTTGTGCGAATCGTGTTTATTTAACATGTTCTAACATCCCACCAAGCCGTTTCCCCCAGGGGGGTCCGGAACACCCCCATCCGCACTTCGATCAGAATTCGATCAAACACCTGTCATTTTTCAAAATCGCTTTACGCCCAAAATTTTTTCACTGATATCCGGTTAATTTAACGTGTTCTAATAGCCCATGATAGTCGATCGCTCGTGCGGGGTCGGGAACATACTTTTTTAGGATTAGGGTGGGTTTACATGGCGTTCGCGCTAAAAAAATTATGTTTCCAAAAAATTGGCTTACACCCAACATTTTTTTGTGCGAATCGTGTTTATCTAACATGTTCTAACATCCCACCAAGCCGTTTCCCCCAGGGAGGTCCAGAACACCCCCATCCGCACTTCGATCAGAATTCGATAAAACACCTGTCATTTTTCAAAATCGCTTTACACCCGAAATTTTTTCACTGATATCCGGTCAACTTAACGTGTTCTAATAGCCCATGATAGTCGATCGCCCGAGCGGGGTCCGGAACATACTTTTTTAGGATTAGGGTGAGTTTACATGGCGTTCGCGCTAAAAAAATTATATTTAAAAAAAATTGGCTTGCGCCCAAAATTTTTTTGTGAGAATCCTGTTTATTTAACATGTTCTAACATCCCACCAAGCCGTTCCCCCCAGGGGGGTCCGAAACACCCCCATTCGCACTTCGATCAGAATTCGATAAAACACCTGTCATTTTTCAAAATCGCTTTACGCCCAAACTTTTTTCACTGATATCCGGTCAACTTAACGTGTTAATAGCCCATGATAGTCGATCGCCCGAGCGGGGTCCGGAACATACTTTTTTTAGGATTAGGCTGGGTTTACATGGCGTTCGCGCTAAAAAAATTATATTTAAAAAAAATTGGCTTGCGCCCAAAATTTTTTTGTGAGAATCCTGTTTATTTAACATGTTCCAACATCCCACCAAGCCGTTTCCCCCAGGGGGGTCCGGAACACATTTATTCGCACTTCGATCAGAATTCGATAAAACACCTGTCATTATTCAAAATCGCTTTACGCCCGAAATTTTTTCACTGATATCCGGTCAACTTAACGTGTTCTAATAGCCCATGATAGTCGTTTGCTCGAGCGGGGTCCGGAACATACTTTTTTTAGGATTAGGGTGGGTTTACATGGCATTCGCGCTAAAAAAAATATATTTCAAAAAAATTGGCTTAAGCCCAAAATTTTTTTGTGCGAATCGTGGTTATTTAACATGTTCCAACACCCCACCAAGCCGTTTCCCCCAGGGGGGTCCGGAACACCCTTATCCGCACTTCGATCAGAATTCGATAAAACACCTGTCATTTTTCAAAATCGCTTTACGCCCGAAATTTTTTCACTGATATCCGGTCAACTTAACGTGTTCTAATAGCCCATGATAGTCGATCGCCCGAGCGGGGTCCAGAACATACTTTTTTAGGATTAGGGTGGGTTTACATGGCGTTCGCGCTAAAAAAATTATATTTCAAAAAAATTGGCTTACGCCCAAAATTTTTTTGTGGGAATCCTGTTTATTTAACACGTTCTAACATCCCACCAAGCCATTTCCCCCAGGGGGGTCCGGAACACCCCCATCCGCACTTCAATCAGAATTCGATAAAACACCTGTCATTTTTCAAAATCGCTTTACGCCCAAAATTTTTTCACTGATATCCGGTCAACTTAACGTGTTCTAAAATAGCCCATGATAATCGTTTGCTCGAGCGGGGTCCGGAACATACTTTTTTAGGATTAGGGTGGGTTTACATGGCATTCGCGCTAAAAAAATATATTTCAAAAAAATTGGCTTACGCCCAAAATTTTTTTGTGCGAATCGTGGTTATTTAACATATTCTAACATCCCACCAAGCCGTTTCCCCCAGGGGGGTCCGGAACACCCTTATCCGCACTTCGATCAGAATTCGATAAAACACCTGCCATTTTTCAAAATCGCTTTACGCCCGAAATTTTTTCACTGATATCCGGTCAACTTAACGTGTTCTAATAGCCCATGATAGTCGATCGCCCGAGCGGGGTCCGGAACATACTTTTTCAGAGTTAGGGTGGGTTTATATGGCGACCTCACTAAAAAAAAAATGTATTTCAAAAAAATTGGCTTACGCCCAAAATTTTTTTGTGCGAATCGTGTTTATTTAACAGGTTCTAACATCCCACCAAGCCGTTTTCCCCAGGGGGTCCGGAACACCCCCATCCGCACTTCGACCAGAATTCGATAAAACACCTGTCATTTTTCAAAATCGCTTAACACCCAAAATTTTTTCACTGATATCCGGTCAACTTAACGTGTTCTAATAGCCCATGATAGTCGATCGCCCGAGCGGGGTCCAGAACCTACTTTTTTTAGGATTAGGGTGGGTTTACATGGCGTTCGCGCTAAAAAAATTATATTTAAAAAAAATTGGCTTGCGCCCAAAATTTTTTTGTGAGAATCCTGTTTATTTAACATGTTCTAACATCCTACCAAGCCGTTCCCCCCAGGGGGGTCCGAAACACCCCCATCTGCACTTCGATCAGAATTCGATAAAACACCTGTCATTTTTCAAAATCGCTTAACGCCCAAAATTTTTTCACTGATATCCGGTCAACTTAACGTGTTCTAATAGCCCATGATAGTCGTTTGCTCGAGCGGGGTCCGGAACATACTTTTTTAGGATTAGGGTGAGTTTATATGGCACTCGCGCTAAAAAAATTATATTTCAAAAAAATTGGCTTACGCCCAAAATTTTTTTGTGCGAATCGTGTTTATTTAACATGTTCTAACATCTCACCTAGCCGTTTCCCCCAGGGGGGTCCGGAACACCCTTATCCGCACTTCGATCAGAATTCGATAAAACACCTGTCATTTTCAAAATCGCTTTACGCCCAAAATTTTTTCACTGATAACCGGTCAACTTAACGTGTTCTAATAGCCCATGATAGTCGTTTGCTCGAGCGGGGTCCGGAACATACTTTTTTAGGGTTAGGGTGGGTTTACGTGGCGTTCTCACAAAAAAAATTATATTTCAAATAATTGACCAAATTTTTTTTACAATGCTCCAGTGGATGACCACCGCCCGCACCAGTGGCCATTTATATACCTTATTGAAGGCGATACTCCATACATTTTTAAAAACAAAGATATAGAGCAGATGTTTTGTTGCGATGTGATCAGTTCGGCAATAGGAGTTGTCAACTGATGACATCTCAGGTCGATACTGTAGTTATTATTTTTTTTAAAACTTTGAGGTTTGCGGCAAACAGACCCTGTCGCTTCAAAATGTATAATTGCTCCTCTAGGTGGAACGATGTTAACTGGCATTCGGTATAGACGAGAACTGCTAGCGACATATCGCAAATAAGGGTCAAGCTGGTTATGCTGCTCAATGCACTATTGGAACAAATCGGATAAGTCCCGCGAACTGAGCAGCAGTCTGTTCCCGCGTTTTGTTTCGGATGCAATTTTGTGGTAGGTGGTAAATTGGGAAATGTCCTGCGGATGCCCATCTTTGAGCAGTTCTTTGTCGGTTTTAGATACCAGTTGGTAATCGCGGGCACTACGATATTTAAGCCAGTTGTTTATTCTCTGAACCCCTTGCTTGTCGAAACTGCACATCATCACCAGCCCGACCAATATCGGACGCAGAAAATTTGAAATACTGAGAGTGGCCCGGTCGAGTACATTTGGCATATATAGCACAACTGTTCCGATTGCGCCTAAAAGAATATAATGCCAAAAAACACGCATATTTTAACGATCTTCCTGTCATTGTTTATTTCAGTTGATAGAATAGTGAAATTGTCGATTTCGGCCGTGTACTGCTTACCGTTTGTTGTTTTCGATGAAATATAACCGTTAATAGCCACCATGCACGCACATGAAATTTTTGATATGCCTAGGCACTAGTTCACTTCATCCACCAACTTCGCGATATCACACATCACACGTGCAACACTCACTTTTTCACGAAATTCGTTTGCAGACATTGCAGTATTTTATCCTTTTTGCTTACAGCCTGAGGATTACATAAAATTCCGTTACAATTATCCATTTTATCCCGACATTCCGGCAAACAGCCCAACGGCACGTATTTACCTGCATCAGGTACCTTTGCTGGGGAAACACAGTGAGCTATTAAAACACATTAAGTTGACCAGATATCCGTGAAAAAATTTTGGGCGTAAAGCGATTTTGAAAAATGACAGGTGTTTGATCGAATTCTGATAGAAGTGCGGATGGGGGTGTTCCGGACCCCACTGGGGGAAACGGCTTGGTGGGATGTTAGAACATGTTAAATAAACACGATTCGCACAAAAAAATTTTGGGCGTATGCCAATTTTTTTGAAATAATTTTTTTTTAGCGCGAACGCCATGTAAACCCACCCTAATCCTAAAAAGTATGTTCCGGACCCCGCTCGAGCGATCGACTATCATGGGCTATTAGAACACGTTAAGTTGACCGGATATCAGTGAAAAAATTTTGGGCGAAAAGCGATTTTGAAAAATGACAGGTGTTTGATCGAATTCTGATCGAAGTGCGGATGGGGGTGTTCCGGACCCCACTGGCGGAAACGGCTTGGTGGGATGTTAGAACATGTTAAATAAACACGATTCCCACAAAAAAGTTTGGGCGTAAGCCAATTTTTTTGAAATATATTTTTTTTAGTGAGGACGCCATATAAACCCACCCTAACTCTGAAAAAGTATGTTTCGGACCCCGCTCGAGCGATCGACTATCATGGGCTATTAGAACACGTTAAGTTGACCGGATATCAGTGAAAAAATTTTGGGCGTAAAGCGATTTTGAAAAATGACAGGTGTCGAATTCGGATCGAAGTGCGGATGGGGGTGTTCCGGACCCCCCTGGGGGAAACCGCTTGGTGGGATGTTAGAACATGTTAAATAAACACGATTCCCACAAAAAATTTTTGGGCGTAAGCCAATCTTTTTGAAATATATTTTTTTTAGTGAGGACGCCATATAAACCCACCCTAAGGGTAACAAGGCACGAGCCGCTAACCGCGGCGGATGGCGGTCACGCGGATGTTAGTTTGTGTAGGAATAATTGCAAGTCAACTCACTGGCAACCACGTAACCGCGCGGATGAGCGGACACCGGCATTGGACGCGGCGAACACGGAGACCGCGCGGACTTTCATGACGACTAACCTAGCAACCAGCCATCCGCGACGGTTTCCGTAAAGCAATCCGCACTTCCCCGTGGTACCGCTCATCCGCCACCCGCCGCGGTGCGCGGCTCGTGCGTTATTAGGCTAACTCTGAAAAAGTATGTTCCGGACCACGCTCGAGCGATCGACTATCATGGGCTATTAGAACACGTTATGTTGACCGGATATCAGTGAAAAAAATTTGGGCGTATTAGAACACGTTAAGTTGACCAGATATCCGCGAAAAAATTTTGGGCGTAAAGTGATTTTCAACAATTACGGGTTTCCGATCTGATTCAACATAGTAATTTTTTATATCTATATATTTTTTTGGGGGCAAACTACGAGTTAATGCCATGTCCACTCAAGGGCACTTGAGGTATGTTTGTCTTATGCGATTAACGCAAAAACCGCATTTTTTCATTATAATTTTCACAAAATAATAACTTTTTCGCGTTACTCACAACTTTGCGGATGTTTTTGGGGAAGGGGGGCTAGACTTCAATTAAACATAAAAACACATAAAATAAACGATATTGCATGAAAACCGCATTGATTTACGCACATTTAAAGCCAAAAAACGTGGTTGTTTGTTGCAATGACAAATTTTGTGCACTGCTGCCTTTATAACGTTTTCGATCGCGCTCGATCGATCGGTTCTTCACCCACATATTATAACACCTCCTAGTCAGACAAAATCTCAAACACAAATAAACACTATGTTCACGTTTTCTGTTGCATTTGCAGCCTTTAATGAACAAGCAGTCATCTAGAACTATATAGGTAAGTGCCAGCAAGTGCTGATTGATTTAGATTTAGAGAAACATCTGGCACTTGTCAATAAGCTGTTTTCACCCTCGCGTAATTTTGCATCGCTCTTTCTGTCTTGAGATAAGTCTTCAAGACTAATCTATGTGAAACTGTGTCATCGATTTGTCGACAAATGACTGTGTGTATATATTAAGTGTGTATCAAGGGTCCATTCATGTGAACATCCATACATCTGCGGCTCACACAGACATTCATTTTTAAGAACAGACCATCGTATTATATACTTACGTGTTCAATTTTCAACAAAACTAGGTCCCTTAGTTAATTTTAAATTCACAATCACGATCCACAATGTATTTATTTATTTTTCGATTTATAAACACGACGATTGTTTATCATATGTATGTCACTTTAGTTCCACCGGTTGCTACTCGATTGCTAGTGGCGCTGTTTCGGTCGCAAAAGCTGTATTCAAATTGCATTCAATGACAGTTGGGCAACCGGTTGCCAACTGCGTTAGCGAATACGAATTTTTCGGTCGGTCGACAATCGGTCGCAAGTCGGTTGGTGGTCGGTTGCTCACCGATCAGAGTTGGAAATTTTTACATAATAAGCTTGCGGAATTGCGATATTTGTTCGAAACACTCTGAGATTTAAAAAAATAACATGTAGATCTCGCCCTAATGACGTGCAAGTATGCGGTGCAGAGGTGCAAGTCGCAGATTCACTTCGCCTGTCTCTTCTATCTATATATGTCCCTCCTAGTGCACATATCCGCACGAATGAATGCATTGATTTGCTCTCTCCTTTCGGTCAGTATGCAATTGTAGGGGGCGATTTCAATGCCCACCATAGTTTGTAGGGCTCCTTCAAGCAGGACCGTAATGGGTTCTCACTTGTGGAAGCACTAACCTCAATAGACTTAGTATTGATGAATGATGGGTCATCTACTAGATTGCATAACAATGGTCTAAATTCAGTTGTAGATTTAACCTTTTCTTCCCCGGACCTAGCTAACATTATTGAATGGAAAACCCATGTTGATACCCTAGAATCACATCATTATCCTATCCTCCTAGAGATGAAGTCGCCTACATCACATTCCGCTAATGAAATAACTCCAAAATACACATGGAATACCCACAAAGCTAATTGGGATCATTTTCATGTACTTGCCGACAATTATTTCTCAAACTCTCATCCGCATTTCCAGGATATAAATGACAAATATCAGTTTTTTATTCAAGGCATTAATGAGTCCACCCGTAGCTCAGTCCCCCGATATAAGCCCTTCACAGGACAAAATAAGACACCTGCTCCTTGGTGGGATCGAGAATGCGATGAAGAAATTAATAAACGAAAAAATGCCCTTGCACAGTACAAGCAGATATTCAGCGAAGCCAACTACGTTGCTTGTAAGAGAGCAATAGCACACACAAAAAGACTGTTAAATAGCAAAGCAAAAACGCATTGGAAAAAATTCTGTTGCAATTTAAATGAAAACACCCCAAGCACCGAGCTTTGGTCTCAGGCTAAGAAAATGCAGAAAAGTCACTCATAGGAAATGCAATAATGGATGGATTGGGAAACAAATTTCCTAGACAAAATCGCTCCACCTTCGACCACAGCAGTCTTTTCAGAGATTGACCGTAGTCAAAATCCTGAACCCTTGACTAACAATATTTTCAGTCATCCCATTACTGTCATTGAACTGAAATACGCGCTAAAAACTCAAACAATTCGTCTCCTGGATGGGACAACATAACATACTCAATGTTATGGCACCTACCTTTGAATGCAAAGCAGCTATTACTAGAACTTTATAATGAGGTATGGTTAGAAAACGAAGACATTGAAGACTGGCGAAAAATAATTGTTGTGGCCGTGCTCAAACTGGGCAAAGATCCAAATTTATGTGAATCATACAGACCAATATCCTTATTATCATGCATCCTTAAGACCCTTGAAAGAATCATAAAGCACAGACTAGAATGGTTTCTCTATGCAAGAAATTTATTCCCGAAGTCACAATTTGGTTTCAAAAAAGGATATGGTACCTTAGATGCTGCAGGGAATGTAGTCACCGATATCCAAAACTGCTTCTCAAGGAATGAATACCTGGCAGCTGCATTTTTAGACGTCAAAGGATCATATGACTGCGTCGACCTGCTCATGCTAAAGGACAAGTTAGAAGATATTCTTGTTAAAAGTAATACTTGTCGGACTATCATAAAGCTCTTCCTAAACAGAACAATATTTCTCAGCTCCAAAACCAACTCACTACTGGGCCCTAGAGAAGTATCAGTAGGCCTTCCTCAGGGATCAGTTTTATCACCAGTCCTGTTTAACATATATACTAGGGATATCCACGTAGTTAAGCCGACATACAATCTAGTACAGTAGACTTTGTCGTTTACCTAGATAAAAAAGGATTCCAATCGTGCAAGGAATCAACCGCCATAACTTCGGTATCAAGTCAAATGAACACATTAGGATTCAGCCTATCACCACACAAATCATCCATAGTATTCTTCTAACGAGACAACATTCCTCCAACAGGTGATATAGGAGTCGTTTGCTCTCGGTTTCCAGTAACAGAAACACTGGAGTACCTTGGAGTTGTTCTTGACCAAAAACTAACATGGTACCCTTTCATTGACAAAATAGTTACGAAGTGTCAAAAAGGTCTTAAATTTCTGAAGATGAATCGACGTACGTGGTGGGGAGCACATCCTGATTCAGCGTTAACATTCTATCGCTCATACATTAGATCGATCATCGATTATGGATGCACTTTGTATGGTTCTGCTAGTCACAAAGCCTTACAAAAATTGGATACACTACAAAACAGTGCATTAAGACTTTGTTTGGGCGCAATGAGGTCAACTCCAATTGAACCCCTTAGAGAAGAATACCTTTAACCTTGAACCACCTCTTCAGCTAAGGAGACCATTATTGTCAAAAAAACAACTTATCAAGTCATAAGTAAAGCAAGACCATATAATCAAAAAATATAGCACGTTAAACGCTCACGACCTCCTCCAATAAATATTGGCAGAAAAAACAATCACCCCCCCCCCTTTGTGAAGCATTTAGGAATTTCAGACTAGAGACAATTTATCTAAATTCCAATCATCCCTGAATTCTCAAGAATTTTTCAGTTCCCTTGAGAAACACAACTTAATTTTACCAAACTACATTCCCTCTGCCGAAGAAAACTGCGTTAGGCCCGTATCGACAGTTGTTCCTACAATTATAGGACGTCTTTATGGCCTATTTGATATCCATAATATGATGTCCTCTTCTATATGGTACTTGTATGTCCTGCTTCAGATTTCCGGCATGCTGACAGTTCTGGCTAGAGGTTATGTTGTGAAATTGTGAAAGCGGGACAAAGCGGGACATAGCGAAAAGGACGCAACAAACAATCCAGGTGAAGTGCAGTGAGCCCAAGAGGGCACCAGTGCACAAGAATTACACAGTTTCCAGCGTGCGCGGTACAACTGGAAAATGTGTAAAAGTCGACACTGTGCCAAAAAATGACGCACGAAGAAACCGAATATTCCTCAAATAGCGAGGAAGAGGTAGCTGCTCAAGATGCGAGTCACCGCAAAATGAGCAAAAACAATAGGATGATGAAGGAAAACGAGGACCTAAAGAGGCAGATAGCCGAGCTATCTTGCTAACTAACAGACCTGACCCGCCAATTGGTGGAAGAGCGAAGGGTGAGCGCAGAGTAGCGCGAAAAGACCAGCAAGCTCATTCAGCTGATGGCCTTCAGGCAAGGAATTGAGGTAGAAGACCTCAATGACCTAATGGAGCCTGAAGGAAAAGATAAGACGGTTTCGCATAAACCGCAAAAGAATGAAAAGAAAAGGCTGCCTAGCACCTCCTCGGAAGAAGGAAAGAAGAGAGAAGCCCCTAGGAAGAAGGCCGCTCGAAACAACGATGACGGAGCGACCACGTCGGCAACCAAGACCCCAGCTGAAGTGGAAGCGATGGATAAGTCTTCCACCCCCAAACCTTCGTCGGCGGAGGGAAGCAAGAAGAAGGAGAAGAGGCCCCCACCACTCTACATCCACAAGGAAGAGCAGTGGAAGGAGGTGCTAAGCAAGAAGATGCTCTCCACAGATACCTGCACGACTGACAGGTGCAGGTATCAAAGTCCAACCGAAGGACAGCGAGGAATATAGAAGGGTCAGAAAAACCCTTCCGGAGGATAAGCCACTGGGAGTGGTACTAAGGGGAATGCCCATCATTACCACTTGCCAAGAGATCGGAGAACACTTGGTCAGGCAAGGCTTCCACCCAAAGAGGGTGAATAGGATGACCAGCAGAAGGACTGGCAAAGCGATACCGCTGATTAAAGTAGATCTCCCGAAGGAAGAGACGAGGATCTACAAAATAAATGCCGTTTGCAACATGGTGATCCAAGTGGAGGCACTCAGAAAGAGGACTGGACCAGGTCAGTGCTACCGATGCCAGCAATTTGGCCATAGCCAAATGAGCTGCACGGGAGAGCCGCGCTGCGTTAGATGCGCAGGAAAGCTCATCTGGAGCGAAAATACGCCTAAAAAGGGATAGCACTGACCAAAACTCCAAATGGGCACTCCAATAATCATTGCAAATAGGGGCCTGAAGATATTGAGTTGGAACGTTCATAGCGTCTCCAACAAGAAATATGAGATAGGCGAAGTCCTAACAAGAGGGAACTATGATGTAATGGCACTACAAGAAACGTGGCTCTCTGGGGAAATCCCGCACTGGACGATACAGGGATACACGACATACAGAAAGGACCGGAACAGAACCGGAGGTGGGGTGCTACCTGCTGTCAAGACCAGTATTACCCACTGGGAACTGGGACTGCCAGAACTGAGATCTACAGAGGCCGTAGGAGTGACGGTACGCACAACAGACCACGGCCCTCTGAACATCGTATCGATATACGTACCACCTACATCGACGATTCATCTGGAAGATGTCACCTGTATCACTGCACTGGGAAACAGTACCGTGATCGTAGATGATCTAAATGCGAAGTCCACCATTTGGGGCTCAAGAAATAGAAACAGTCATGGCACTGTTCTCGAAAGACTAATGGATGAACCTGGATACACCATGATAGGTCCGGATGAACCCACAATATACCCCAGCAACGGAGGTAGACCAGACGTCATAGATATGGCGATTCTGAAAGAAATCGACATGCGCACGACCATCGGCGCCTTGCAAGAGGGAAGCTCAGACCACAACCCCATCTTTCTCCATATGGGAGATGGGAGAACACCTGTGGAGCAAAGAACAGTGAAGAGAGTGGATTGGCAGCGTTTTAGAACCAGACTGCACTATTCACAAGGACCACTACTTCAGATCGAAAGCCCTGAAGGCATAGAGGAAGCGGTCACGGACCTAGAAAGGAAGATTAAGGCTGCGTTAGAAGCCGCAACCACCGTGGAAGACATAACGCAACCAAGCAGGTTCAGGGACCTACCTGACGAGGTAAATCGCAAGATCACCGAAAGAAATAGAGCCCGAAGAGTAGCCCAGGAGACCAGACATCATGGTGGCAAACAGACTGACAAGACAGGCAAGAAACGCCTTGAAGCAGCATCATCAGAGCACCTGGGGTAAGAAACTCGAAGAATTATCTCCAGCTGACCCAGGAATGTGGAATTTGGCTAAAATCCTCAGAGACAGAAGACAGCCCATCCCCCCAATACACAGCGAACAGGGGATGGTGTACACAACCGAAGAGAAGGCAGAAGCTTTTGCTGACAACCTTCAGAGACAGTGTACTCTCAATACTCACCCCGATGTAGACGAAGACTTCATCGACGAGGTGATGAGAAGATCGAGGAGAGCTGAAAGAGGAGGAAGAGCCATTGAAGACATGACCTCTCCAGGCGAGGTAAGAGAAATCATCGGAAGACTGAAGGTGAAGAAAGCACCGGGTGTAGATGAAATTGGGAACAGAATCTTGAAGAGACTCCCGAGGAAAGCGATTATGGCAATTACCAACATTGTCAACGCCATACTGAGACACCGATACTTTCCAGATCACTGGAAAGTAGCCGAAGTGATTAACATTCCAAAACTTGGGAAAGACCCAAGGTTCCCCCAAAACTACAGACCCATAAGCCTGTTGACGGCACTGAGCAAGATTGCGGAAAGGGTAATCGAACGAAGACAGAGGAACGAAACTGAAGAACTCCGAGTAGTTCCAGACGAACAATTCGGATTCCGAAGCGAACATTCAGCAGAGCACCAGGTCCTAAGGCTGGTCGAGATGGCAACGAAATCGTTCCAGACTCGGCGGGCCGTAGGAGCTGTGTTCATGGATGCCGCCAAGGCGTTCGACACTGTTTGGCATGACGGACTGATCTACAAGATGGTAGACCTCGGATACTCAACGGGGATGATCCAACTGGTGAAGTCCTATTTGAAGCACCGAAAATTCCGAATTAGGATTGATAAAGAAACTTCGACGACGAGGACTGTGGAGGCAGGAGTACCGCAGGGAGCGGTTCTATCACCCCTGCTGTATGCAATCTACAGTTCAGACATCCCGAAGACTCCACAAACGCAACTGTATGTGTATGCGGACGATACAGCATATGCGGCAGAAAGTACGAGACCCCGCATGGTTACGGAATATCTGCAACGAGCGACTACCAACCTAGAGGAATGGTGCATCAAGTGGAAGATCCGTCTCAACCCTGAGAAGACCGAATCGGTACTGTTCCGAAGAAATCGAAGATTACCTCAAACCAAAATAAAGATGACGACCACCAGAATGGAGAGAGGCTGGAGAAGAGACGAAGAAGTTGAGGTCGACTGGAAGGACTCCAGCACATACCTTGGAGTCAAGATGGACCAAAAACTCACTCGGAAGAACCATGTCGAGGGCCAGGTGCAGAAAGTGACGATGGCACGCTCCAGACTAAGACCGATAACGGGCAGAAGAAGCAAAGTGTCACTAAAGAATAAGACCATCATGATTCAGATGGTGCTGCTACGCAGCAGTAGCTTGGGGCTACGTTTCCAAAACGATGAAGAAGAGGCTCCAAGCTCAACAAAACATAGCACTCCGTGAAGCGGTGGACGCACCGTGGTATGTACCTAACTATATGACGAACTACGACAGGTAGCGGTCGTAATCCAGATGAAAGAGAGGGCCCGAAAGTTCTTTGAAAAGAACGAAAGACATCGTAATGTACTGATTAAAGACGCCTTGGATTACGACCCAAGAACAATAAGGCGTCATAAAAGACTGAAAAGCCAGCTGCAACAAGAAGAAATTTGGCCCTAGCAGCTGATGAGGCCAAAGAAAGGGGAAGAAGACCGACAATAGTTGTACACCCAAGAGGGGAAAGAACAGCCTGTGTACAACGGGTGGACAAAAAGAAGCCTGTCCATTGAGGTGGCCAGAGTCAAGCACGGACTCGGGGCTAACCTCAGGAGACGAATGACTGACTGACGACGACTGACTGACTCCAGTCGACGAGGAAAGAGCGAAGGCTCACCAACCTTAATGCGGGGCTTAGGTCAAAGCCCCCAGCGCAGGACCCCCAAGAAAAGAGGCCGTCCATAAAGTCGAGAACCGACAGTTGGAAGAAACGTCCACCACGTTTCGGGAAAAAGGGGCAAAATTGGAGAGGGGGGTTAGCACGTTCGGCAGCACACACTCGGGGAATGCGCAGCGGCCTGAACCACGCAGCGCCACGCCAGGCCTTCGGGCGGGAGAGGAGGGAGGAGCAGACTGCTCTTCCCCCCACTCCTCAAGGGTTTGAGGTTGCCTGGAACAGGGGTGGTGGAGGGTAGGAGGGTGTGTGTGTGTGTCCTCTTCGATATGGTACTTGTATGTCCTGCTTTACATTTCCGGCATGCTGACAGTTCTGGCTAGAGGTTATGTTGTTGTTTTGACGTTTAAGAAATTACCATAATTCATTATTTTCTCGCAAATAATGTCGATCAGTCAATAATACTTCGCTAGATTTAACAAATTCGACAACCTGTGGTATCTTTAAAAAAATTTTGGGCTAGGAAAATTAATGCACATGGATATATTATAATATTATATTTGTATGTATACTAAGTGACATATAAATCCGAACACCCAGTTTAAATGGTTTTATTTTAATAAAATTTTGTATAAGTACTTAAAGTAAATGATAAAAATTTCAAAATGATTGTACTGCTTTAAAGCCCTTTGACCTTTAATAATGTGTGGATGCACCCTGATGTGCTACGCATTCTCTAACGCGCCTAGGCATGCTTCTGATCAGGTGGTCAATGTCCTCCTGTGGTATCTTATTCCAGGAAACCACCATCATATCCCACACGTGCTCAATTGGAGATAAATCGGGAGATCTTGGTGGCCATGGTAACAATGTGACATCATTATGTTGAAAGAAGTCTATTGTGACTCTTGCAACATGTGGTCGGGCATTATCTTGTTGGAAAGTTGGATCTGCCAGGGTGTCAAGATAGGGTAAAAGATGGGGTTCTAGAACTTCGTGGATATAACGCTGCGCGTTCATGTCACCTCTGATGAAGATTAAAGGTGACCTGGAACCATAAGCTATAGCACCCCAAACCATAACTCCAACAGTGTGATGAACATGTCTTTCAACAAAAAACTGTGGATTCCTCCTTTCACCACGTCGCCTTCTAACCCTGGCACGACCATCGTGCATGCCTAAACAAAATCGAGACTCGTCACTAAAGACAATACTGTTCCATTCCTGATCCCAGAGTGACCGTTGTCTGCACCACTCAAGGCGATTACGTCGGTGTTCTCGAGTTAAAGGGAGGACCCAGTGTGGCCGGTATGAAAACAAGCCAAAACTTCTCATTCGTCGGTAAACACTTCGCATGCCAATAGGTCTTCCGTGTTCTGCAAACCATTCATTTGCAATGGACCTGGTAGTGGAGAAACGGTCCCTTAAGGCCAATAATCTTAGGCGGCGATCTTCACGGTCTGTTGTTCTACGGCGGCGTCCAGTGCCCCTTGCTCTTTGCGTACGGCCTTCTCGAAGCCATGCCTGACAACACCTAACCACAGTGTCTACACTTCTTTGCACTCTAACTGCAATTGCCCGAAAAGAAAGTCCAGCTTCCCGAAGTCCCACTATACGCCCCCTATCAAACTCACTAAGTTGACGAAATCGTACAGGTCTCCGTACTCTAGACATCGTAACCGATCGTAAAGGATGTCAAGAACCAAAATCCGCCAACGTTGATTCTTTACTGCGGCTGAAAATTCATTTCACTGGACAACAAATTTTAGTTTTTTAATTGTATCTTTTGGGAAAAGTGCACTTCTTTGTTAATTTTGGGGCGCTGAATCCAAAAATGACAATGAAATAAAAAAATTAGTTGCGGTTTAGAGAAAAAACTTTTTATTTTTAAGGATATATTAAAAAAAGTAACAAGATTCATATACTTATAAGAATCACTATATGCGCTGTCTTTTTGCTGTTCTTTTATGGATCGTTTCTGGAGCATCTCTACCAAGAGTCCAACAGTAGTCTGCAAGCATGGAAGGATTCCACTTTCCCTGGTACCTTTTTTCCATTGTTGAAATATCCTGATGAAAACGTTCGCCGTGCTCATCACTTACGGCTCCGCAATTGTCAGGAAAAAAGTCCAGGTGTGAGTGTAGGAAATGTATCTTAAGAGACATATTACAGCCCATCTTTTGATACGATGACAGCATATTTTTGACAAGGGTTTTATAGTTGTCAGCTTTTCTATTTCCCAAGAAATTAGTGACCACCAGACGGAAATCATTCCAAGCAGTTTTTTCAATACCTTTTAAAGCGTTTTCAAACTGTGTATCTTTCAAAATATTTCGAATCTGTGGCCCAACAAAAATACCTTCTTTAACCTGTGCCTCACTTAGTCTTGGAAATTTCTGACGCAGGTATTGAAAAGCTGACCCATCTCTATCTAATGCCTTGACAAAGTTTTTCATTAGGGCCAACTTGATATGCAGTGGTGGTAATAAAATTTTTTTCGAATCTACTAATGGCATATGCTGTACATTTGTTTGACCTGGCTCTAGGAATTGACGAACGGCCCAGTTTTGTCTGGTGTAATGAAGTGCCTTTGCCCGACTGTCCCATTCACACAAAAAACAGCAAAACTTTGTGTAGGCTAGCTGCAGCCCAAGTAAAAGTGCAACAACTTTCAAATCGCCACAAATATGCCATTGGTGCTCATCGTATTTTATGCATGTCAATAGGTAGGGGAGAAGTGGCATGAAAGAGCCAGGTTTTGAAAGAGCCACTTGCATTATTTCGGTGGTTTAGGAACGAATTTGGTGGATGATCTTATTTTAAGGTGGCAGCACTGATTTCCCGCCCCCCACAAACATTTGACAGTTGGCTAGTGATAACAGACGGCGGTACATCGAGTCAAAATTTTTGGCATCCAAAAGTAAGTATTTTGATCTACCTAAATAGTTTTTTGGCATTTCATTGTAAACAAATATAAGTATGTGGATTGTACATATAGATTCAGTTTGTGCATATAATTGACCTTGCAACTGCGTAAACACTAAGCGGCAAAAGGTTTTATATTGCTGTTATTTTGAAAGTTATATATTTTTTACCAATAAGTTATGAAAGACCCGGGTGCATAGGCCTTAAAAGAGCTGGCTCTTTCATAACCGGCTCTTTTATAACCCTATATTTAAGTTTTAATAATAAATTATTATAATAATAAATATGCATTTTTATATATTATTAAATTATTTGCTTCAGATACTGCATTATGGAGAAGGCTGGCTCAAAAAAACGAAAAAGACCCGAAAAATCGGTAATCGAAGAAGCAGTCAGTGAAGTTTTGGAGAAAGGTCAGTCCATAAACAGAACTGCACTTGCCTTAAACATATCGAGGGCTTACTTAGCTAAAATCGTTAAAAAAGTGGAGACGTCTGGCGATTCATCATATGAACACTGTCCTAATATAGGGAACAGGCGTATTTTCACAACAGAACAGGAGAATATGCTTGCAGAGTATTTAAAGACCGCATCTGAAATGTGCCATGGCCTAACAAGACACCAAGCAAAGAAGCTAGGATTTGATTATGCCGTAGCCAATGATACCTTTCTACCGAAATGGATTGAAGTTGAAACTGCGACTGATGATTGGCTCAAAGGGTTTATGAGCAGACACAAAGGCTTAACTGTGAGAAAACCTGAAAGCACTTCTCTATCCCGTGCAACAAGTTTTAATAAAGCTAATGTAAGCACATTTTTTGAGAAACTAAACACTGTTTTACAAAGATACAAATTTCCTCCTCATAGGATTTTTAACGCCGATGAAACAGGCTGCAGCACCATCACCAATCCTCCTAAGGTCATAGCTGAAAGGGGTTCGAAACAAATTGGGCAAGTTACCTCAGCCGAACGAGGAACATTGGTGACAACTCTGTTCTTTATTAATACTGCTGGTGGTTTTTTGCCGCCCGTTTTTGTGTGTCCTAGAGTAAACTATGAAGATATTATGTTAAATAATGTTCCGCCAGGAGCCCTAGGATTGGCTCAAGTTTCTGGATGGATGACTGAAGACTGTTTTGTGAAAGCGCTTGAACACTTTGTAATACGTATATGTTAGGCCATCAAAAGAGAATCCAGCATTGATATTAATGGATAATCACACCTCTCATGTAAATCTCAGAGTGGTTGAATTTGCCAGACAAAACTCCATCATAATAGTTACATTCCCACCACACTGCTGTCATAAACTGCAACCACTAGATACAAAACTCCATCATAATAGTTACATTCCCACCACACTGCAGTCATAAACTGCAACCACTAGATATCACAGTATATGGGCCTTTCAAAACTAGTTACCGCACTGCCATGAATGAATGGATGTTGACGAACCCTGGAAAAACAGTTACTATTTATCAAATTGGGCAGTTTGTAAAAGAAGCATATTTGTCAGCTTTCAGTCCACAGAATATAACAAGGATTTTTGAAAACAGGAATTTATCCATTAAATTCTAATATATTTAGTGAAGAAGCATTTCTATCTTCATATGTGGCTGATAGACTTGATCCGCAGTCAAACGATGGTTTGAACTTGTATAACGAAAGTATGGAAAGAAACAACACCTCCATCTTCTACAAAATCGCTTGAAGCTGGCGAAGAAAATGATCTTCTAATAGATCAGAATATCAGACTCTCTCACCGTTCAACCTCCACCCCCACGGCTGCAAATCCGAGTCAACGAATTATATCACCGGAGATGATAAGACCATTTTCTAAAGCGGGGCCAAGACAAAACACGAAACGAAATAATAGAAAAATGTCATCTGCTATCGTAACCGACTCTCCCGAAAGGAAAAAAATAGAGGAGAAAGAGTATAGTGCAAAGAAACCAAAAGTTACTGTTAAGAAAATGACTACAAGAGACTCCATAAAAACGCCTAAATCAAAATCAGAAATAAATAAAGAAAATTCCGTTCTGCAAGATGACTCTGATTCGTCTGACTCTATCGTATTGACTGAATTAAAAACAAAGGGTGTTCAAAGCAAAATAAACCCAAAGACAAATAACAATAGTGATGATTGTGTAGTTTGCAGCAAAATATATAAAGACAGTGATCAAGATTGGTTTCAGTGCAAAATTTGTTCTGGTTGGGCTCATGAATGCTGTGGTATTAAGGGGAACCTTAATTTCTTTTGCAAGACATGTTTCTAATTTGAAGAATACGCATTATATTCTGTTCTGATAGATTTAACGATTTTGTTTTTGATAAAAGATATTATTCGTTGTTTTATTTAATTTCAACACTGTTATATATGTTAAGATTATATTTATTATAAAATATCATTAGTTTTTAAAAAGAATTTGTTAGAATTGTCTTTTCATTTGTTTTTTAATAGTGTATACTTATTAGTTTGTATAATTTTCACAATTTCAAGTTATAATACAAGCTGGCCCTCTTTCATTACTTTTAGTGGCTCTTTCAATACCGAAATGTTATGAAAGAGCCAAATGACACATTTTTAAAAAACGTATATTTCATTGGTTTTATAGACCGGATTTTAGATTTTTTTGTATGAAATATATACTTTAATAAATAAATAATAGTTTGACTAAAAAAATAATCATTTCATTCATTAAAAGTATATTTTTTGGCTACGTCTATAAAACTGGCTCTTTCATGCCACTACTCCCCTACTTCATATTGTCATATGATTCTTTCATGTGAACTGTATACCCTACAGGAAGAGATGGTAAAATATTTCCAATATGCAATAATACTGCCTTTAAACTCAATGTTGAACTGTCTATAAACAATCACCATTCTTCTGGGTTATAGTTTATATTTAAAGCCGCCAATAAGCCGTTAATGTTACTGCAGAAAACCAAGTTAGTCTCCATATTGAAAAATGGTTCTAAGTCTTTGGCGTTTACGAAAAACACATACCGAAACATCGTCTTCTAACAAGTTCCACTGCTGCAGTCTTGATCCAAGTAACTCTGCCTTACATTTTGGAAGTTCTAAGTCTCTTACAAGATCATTTAATTCTGGCTGTGTTATTTTGTGCGGTTGGTGGCATGACGTGCTCGGTATAAAATCAGGATCTCTTGACGTTGATGGCATATCTTCTTCCTGACGAATCACTCGATCGCCATGATCTGATTCGTTTTCTGATTCGCAAGTGTAGGATTCTGGGGGTTTTGGAATAGGATTTTCGTCACTGTGAGGCACAGGTCTCATCGCAGATGGTATGTTTGGGTAGTTAATAACCGATTTTTTTTTCTTGGACATACCTGTGGCTTGTCCCACACAAGGTACCATGCAAAAGTAACAATCATTAATATGATTTGTAGGCTCTCTCCAAACCACTGGGACAGCAAAGCGCATAGACCGTTTTTTGCCATTTAACCAGCTCCTCAGACTTGAAGCACATGTATTACAGCAGATGTGGGGTGCCCACTGTTTGTCTTGATCACCTAGTTTACAACCGAAATAAAGCTGATATGCCTTTGTTATTAGTGGAGTAATAGACCATCTCTGAGACGCAAAAGTCACATCACCACACACGTAACAAAACTGATCTGGATTGTTTACACACTTTCGAGACATCTTGCATGAACGCTGTCAGCCAACTGAGGAAAAAATGGCTAATATAAAACAATATAATGTACACGTATGTATAACGTAACACAATCATGCCGATTACATCATTTTTCCTTGCCGAATATAAAAATGTAGCACGTGCATTCTTGTGAATTACAGTATATTAACACTGTCACAGCAGGAACACATATAATTACCGTATCTCTAAAACTTGAACTAATATTGAAAAAATAAGTTTCATTCCGGTTTTAGCACATTAAAAATAGTAATATTTTGTTGATTTTATTCAGGATATTTTTTGGCTGTTGATCAGTGTTTTTAGAGCGTTACTGAATCAAAAAAAGCAGTATAAAAACCGGAATGTCCAACTGATAAGGCTGAACATTTTTTCACTTGTTATTTACAGTAAGATAAATACATTCACCAACTTTTATTGAAATAAAACCATTTAAACTGGGTGTTCGGATTTATATGTCACTTAGTATAGTAATTTAGACTTACTAATAAAATTAATGTTAGAGGAAGTTTGTAAGTATTAGATTTAGGTTACGTCAAGCTTGTACAGGTAAATAAAATCAACATGTAGTGAGAAAATGAGTTTTATTTCACACTTACAAAAACATTTAATATGAATGAATAAGTCCATTTTGGATAGGCCCATCAAAAGCATTGTAACTGAAGCATGAGTCATGAATAACTAATGCATACACTTTGGTGTGGAATGGAAATGCAGATTTCCTGGTCTCAATTTCCAAAGATATGTAGACAGTTGAAAGTTGGAGATGATCAGGCTGATGACTGCAATCAATAAGGAAAAGCGGATTGTCATTAAATTCTTTAATATCCATCATAGGTTCAGGAATGTTCTGGTTGTAGTATGTTTTTTGAAAGTTCTCAAATGCATAATAAGCTGCGGTGTTGAGCTTTTTTTCGAAATTCAAGTTCCACCTTTCATATGGGAATACTTGGTTGTTCAACTTCAAGCGAATCGAGTTAACGTTGGCATTTATGAATTTCCTTATATCCATCGAATGATTTTCTTCAACTGTAGAATCTTGAAATCCAATGATAGTTTACTGGTTGTTCTAATTGCCCAAACATCCGATGATGTAGAACGAAGAGATGGAAGCTCATATTCATACCTTTGCAGAAGCTTGACTTTGTAACGATCTTCCGGAACGATGTGTTGAACTTTCCATTCAATCTTGGATATAGTCAATTCAGCATCACATTCACCTACATAACAGTTTTTGAAGGATCTTGCAATAACCATTTATATTTAGAACCCCTTTTTTGTAGCCTTCTGCGAATCCTACCACTAAAAACTTTGCTTTTGACATCCCATATAGCTGAGTTCTCGGCACTTAAGCTCCAACCATTACATAAAAGTGTATGCATAGCACTTTTACCATGTGACACCATCGTTTTTATAGTTGAAGTTATCCCTGGATTTCGAACTCCATAAACTTTTTGCCACGAATCTGTAGGGAAATTTCTTGAAATAAAAAGGTCAATGCATTGTTTGATAAGTAGCAGGGTTTCCTGGTGTCGGTAGGCGTAAATGTTGCTTCGACGTAAATATAACTGTCAGCAATGTTTAAAATAAGATCTTGGAAGTTTATAGGGATGTGAACTATATCTGAATTCTTGAAATATGGCGATCCATATGGTTTGTATGTGTATTCTTGTAGGCTAGCTAAGGAATAATCTCAAAAACATCCAATTTCTCATTTCATACGTGTAGAACCATATTGTTTGATTAGTTTCAGCCCTATAGACTCCAAGAACTTGCGATTTTGCAGTGACATATTCGATGCTGTGGCTTTGACGATGGTTGAACGACGAATCACATAACACCTACTTTATAATGGAATCTGTAATGCTAAGGTTTATCACTAAGTTTGTAGCGCCATGGGGCATTCTCCGAACTTTTTTCATAAAACCTTTACGAACTGCTATAGAACCCTTCAAAAATATCGAATACCTAGCGCCATCTTTGAACTTCCCTATTATACTGTTGCGCTAAATTTGAATTTTATATTCAAATTATATATAAGGTATTTTAGGTAAAATAACGCTCTCTCTCTCTCTCTGTTTCTCTCTTTCTGTTTCTCTCTCTGTTTCTATTTCTATTGCCAGCATCACAGCTACGTATCAAATTAAGTGAACTTTGAAAAAACCAGTTGACATAGGCAAAAATGTACGGTCCTGACTCTGTATGCGCCAAGTGTGAATATATCCTGAAAGGACGTCACTCTGTTGTAAGTGTTTCAATATACGGACCTCGTTAGGCTAGGACCTCGGTCGGTCCTCACGTTGTCCGATATACAAGTCATAAATTTAAAATAGTTTTTTCCGTGTATACTCGCCACTTTTAGATATAACAATGGCGTGCTACCAAATCATGCGTAAAACCACATTTGTAGCTGCATTCCTTCTGGTGGTCCTCACATTGTATGGTTTACAGTCGGTCCTCACATTGAATGCAAGCAATATATATATACATATATACGG